GGAAAGGGCGAGGCGAGGTCGGGCCGTCGCCGGGGTAGCGCGGCAGCGCGGCAGCGCGGCAGCGCCCCCAGTTATTGGAGGGCTCAGCTGGTTACGCAAGCGGCGGGGCTGGGCGGGGTGGCTTGGGGTAGGGTGGTCCGGCAGGTTGAGATAAATCTTGACAGAACAAGTGGAGCTCCCCGCGGCCCCGTGGCCCGCGCGCGTGCCGTGCCGGGTTGGCTCTTCAGCTGCCCCCCTCCCCCTATTCCCCCGACTCTACCCCCGTGGAACTTGAACCCCTTCTGCACGCGAGGTGGGCGAGATGCACTGGGGCCAGGCTCGCGTTGCCGCGCCGGTCGCGCGGAGCGGACAGGACAGCCTCGTGGTGACAGGGTTGACAGCCGTCGTCGTCCCTCGGCGCGGCGGCGCGCTGTCCGGCCGTGTCACAGTGTAGTGTCACACCTCGACGCGGTAATGGCGGAACGCGGTCGCCGGACTGCGCATGAATATTTTGCACACGGCCCGGCCACTTCCCCCTTCCCTTGGCCTGTCAGGCCGACGCAGCGACGCAGCGAGGGCTGCGGTCGCCTCGCTCCTGCTGCATTTCAGCGTCCCTGCATTGCCCTGCATCCCCTTCCTATCCCCTTGCCGCGGCCTGATGCAGGTCGCAAAGTGCTTCCGTGCTGCTGTCCTGCTGTCGCTGCTGTCCTGCCGGGCGGTGCGGTCGGCGTGGACACCGCAGCCACCGGCCGAGAGCGCACCCCGCCGCACCCCGCAAATAGCAATTACAGGCAGCAAGTCGCAATGCGTGGCTCCCTGCCCTGGAGGTCGCCACAGAGCGCCTGCAGCCTGCAGGCCGCCACCCCGTCGCCGCGCCGCGCCGCACCGCGCCGCACCGCGCGGTGTCTGCCGACGTTGAGGCTGCCGTAAAAGAACTTGTCGACATGCACGTCGAGGATTTGATGCCGGGCGCGCGGCCCCGCATTCCTCCAACTTTGTCGCGCCGCCGCGGCCCGCCTCGGCCCGCCTCGGCCCGCCTGCAGTGATGTGATGACATTCCGGTGCCGCCGCCCGCCTCCGCTATTCCATTTCGGGGCGCGGTGACGGCGAGGCGGCGGCGCGGCACGCCCCCGGGCCCCCGGGCCCCCGGGCCCCTGCCCCCTGGCCCTCCGGCGCTCGATTCATCTCTACTGCCCCCCCCCCTCTCCGGCTGGCGTCTTCCTCGCTCTGTCATCCGGTAATCCGGCCCCTCAACTCGGCGAGGCTTGTCCCTGTTATTTCTGCGTTGAGCTCCTAAAGCGCTGTGCTGGACTCACGGTGACTGCAGCCGGGCGCCGGGCACTGCCGCGCCAATCCGATTCAAATCCAGCGATGGGACGCCGACGCGCCAACAGAGTCAGCTGCGAAATGAGGCCCTGAGCTGAATCATTTCAAGCCCTTTCAAAGTTATTGCTGCCCGCGGGGTGGTGGCGGGGGGGCCGCTGTGTGCTCGCGGGGTAGTGTGCACCCCGGGCTGTGGGTTTGGCCGCCCAGAGGATGCAGGCTCTGCCACTAGCGCCAGGCCATCCATCAGTCATATCAACTGAAGGGCCGTGGTGGCGTCTTCGCCGCGTGGACCGTGGACCGTGGACTTTGGAAGACGAATAGCCAGGCGGCCAGCCAGGCAGGCCAGCCAGCCCTCGGGGTTTGTCTCGGGCTGCCCCCTCGAGCCAGCCGCTATTGCCTTAGGCCCTCCCGACCCCAGACCACTTGACCGATCGTCTCTTGTCGTTTGGACGCCCCTCGAGTCTGCCTCTGCCCCTGCTTCCGATTTTCAATTACCGGCCGATGCACGAGGGGTTGAAGGGGCGAGGCAATCTCCCACCTTTTGTCTGGCCGTGGCTGTGCAGCGCAGTGCAGGGCTCGCGGCGGCAGGGGGGGGGGGCGCCGGGGTGCACAGTGCGTCACTGCGGCTGGGTCGGCCTCTGGGTCGGCCAGTGCGTCAAGCCAAGCCCTAGCCGCGGGCCGTGCGCACGTCGCCCTGGCCGCAGCCCCGCAGTCCCGTCGCCCTGTCCCCCTAACCACATGTCATGGCGGCGTGGCGGTAGCGGGTGCGCTTGAGAGCCGCCTCGCCTGCCTGCCTGCCTGCCTGCCTGCCTGGGGCCGTGCTGGACCGGCTGCACCCCACCGCAGCCCCCGGGGCTGTTCCACGGGCCGAGCAACCGCGAGACATTTTTCCGGGAATGGGGTGGGCGGTGGTGGCGGGTATGGCGCGCAAGTGGGAGCTGTGTTTGGGTACGGTGGTTGGGTCGCTGTGTGCGATGTGCGATGTTGTTGGCTGACTCCCGGTACTCGGCCCACGCCACGTCTGCCCCATGTGCAGTGCAGACGCTGTGCCCGGCACGCCCTGTACGCCGCGGTGCACGCCGCGGTGCACGTCGCGGTCGCGGGGGCCTGGCCTGGCCTGGCCTCCAGCCGGGCCCGGCGGCCGTACCGGCGCGGACAACGCGGCTTGGGCCGGCTTCACTCATCAGCTGAGCTTTCTCCGGCCATTGACTGGGGGAGTGGGGCCTGGCGGGGCCTGGCGGGGCCTGGTGGGGGAGTGGGAGTGCGGTGGGGTGGGGGCGTCAACAATGCCGCGCACAGGCACCACAGGCACGCGAGCCCCGTCTTGTCTTGGTCGGCTCGGTGCTCGGTCCCGGCGCCCCGGCCCCGGCTCGGCTCCAGCCTGCCCAAAGCCCGGCCCCGGCTGGGCGCGCGCGCACCTTTACTCCACTCGTCCCGGGTCGCATTGCGTGTACTGCATGTAGGCCGTGCCAATGAGGCGGGGCGGCGGGGCGGGGCGCGGCCAGGCGGAGTGGGTCGAAGGGCGCCTCGTTACTCATCTCGTCTTGGAGGCCCGAGGCCCGGCGGGATATCGAGGGAGGTATTTTGTGCGCTCCGTTGCTTAATGAGACTCTCTCGCTCGGACGAACTCTTGCGCTCAGCTTGGCGCGCTTGGCGCTGCTGCAGTTGTGGCTGTGGCGACCGCCCCGGACCGCCCGACCGGCTTGGCTGGTGGCTGCCTACCCTTTATTCATGGCACGCAGCAGACTGATTCCGAGAGTCTTTTCCGCCGCTCTGTCTCTCGCGCAGCCCAACGCAACGAGTGCGACAAAGGCAGAGCGAAAACACGACTCGGGAAATGAGCCTGCAGCAGGACGGCCCGGGACGGCCCGGGTTGGCCTGCAGTCTGTCTGTGAGGCCGATGGCCTCCCGTGGCCTCCAGTGGCCGCCGCTGCGCTGTGCGGATGACGTCACTGATCGCGGCGCGGATCGGCCAGGTGGCTGGCTGGGCGGCCGGATGAAAAACTTGTGATGCTGCCGCTGCCACCCCTACGACCGGCGTGTTAATGCTGTCGATACGTGCTCCGTGCGCGGCACGCCTCGCCACGCCACGCCACGCCACGCCACGCTCCAAGTTGGCCCCGGCTGGCCCTGACAGGTCGACAAGTTGCGTGGGGAGGAAGGGGGCTCTGTTCGCTACGACACGACGAAGAAAACTTTATACCCCCTGGTTTTTTTTTCGCCTTTTATATCGGCCGGGCCTGCGGGCCTCCGCGATCCGCCGATCCGCTCCGCTCCGCCCCGCGCTCGCCTTGCCAGGCAGCAGAAGTGTGTGCCTTCCGCTTTCCGCTCTCCGTCGGCAAAGTTCGGCGCCTGTGCCCCGCGTTCCCCGCGTTCCCCGCCGGCGAGGCTCGGCGAGGCACAGCAAGCAAGGCACACAGTGGCGGAGCGAAGCGTGTGTGATTTACAAACTGGCGAAGCGAGGAGCGGGCCGGCGCAGCCCTCGCCGCCCGGAGTGCACCGAGCACGGCGTGGCACGGCGTGGCACGGCGTGGCACGGCGCCTAGTGCATTTGGCTAACCCCTGTCTACTGCCGGCTAAATGCCTCTGGCGTGGGCCGGGCCGTGGGCCGGGCCCGGCGGTTTGCTTCTCGTGCGTTCTCGTTGCAAGTTGTTTCAAGTGGTGCAAGTAATTTCGCGGGGCGGAGGAGCAGAGGAGCGGCAGACGCACTCGGTGAGCGCGCGGCCGAGTTCACTCGGCCCTGCTCTGCGGCAGAGAGCACTTGGGGTGGGCGGGGCGCCCCTCCAGGATGCACTGTGCTGTGGGTACAGTCCGCCTGTCTGCATCCGTGGAACCAAATGTCGGCGTCCACACGCCGGCGATGAATATTCAGACATTCAGGCGACATGACACGGCGCGTCGCGCAGCGCCACGCCGCGCCACGCCCGCCACGCCACGCCCTGGCTGAGCGCAGACAAAGCAAGTGCATGGCGAGTGAGTGAGTGGCCGTGGCGTCCTCGTCGAGGCGAATGCGAATTGAACCGCCACGGCAGCGCCGCGCAGCGATCCTCGTCTCGTACTCCAGGCTGCGCTCTCGGCGCTGCCGTGGATAAGCCAAGGGGAAGCCCTACATTATTCACTGCCGGCGCAGCGCGGCGCAGCGTCTGCAGGTGCCAGTCTGCCAGTGTGCCAGTCGCACGTGACACGTGACATGTCGTGCTGCGACGTCCAGTGGTGTGCGCGTGTCGGGCGGGGCGGGGCGGGCGGGGTGTTTCGGCTCGCGGTCCACTTTTCCAGATAAATAATTTCTCCAGCGGCGTCGCCGTTCTCCTGGAGTCTGCGTCGTGACAGGCCTCCGCTGGCTTGGCTGCCGGCCGCCCTGCCGTCTCTCCTCCTCCAGTGTCGCTGCTTCGCTGCGCCACCCCGCCGCACGTCGGCCGCCTCGGCGTCACCGTTTTTGATGAAGGCTGGCGTGCCGAACGGAGCGCCCAGCGAGAGGCGGGGAGCGTCAAGTAAAATCGGCTCGGAGCGGCTCGGAGCAGCGTGTGCTGTGTACCGACTGAGCCCTCTAAAGTGGACTCGGTGGCTCCCAAGACACCCCTAAGGCGTCGGCGGCCTCGGCTCCGCGTTGCATCCGGTTGCATTCCCCCTGAAGAGCCCCTCCTCCCCCAAGGCGTCTCCCGTGCTAACGCCGCCGGTGTTTTGTTGTGTTGCAGACGGACAATGCGGACCCAACATGTTCCGGTGCTCGGACGGCAAGTGCATCCCGCAGGTGGCGGTGTGCAACTACCAGAAGGACTGCGACAAGGCGGAGGACGAGTTCCAGGCGTGCCGTAAGTACAGACACCTACACTATAACACCGCGGCACTGTCGCGCAGCGACGCTAAGGTGACGCCCTTTTGCCCCCTATTCACGTTTTTGGGTCGGTGGCTCGGCTGACGGACTTTGAGCAGCCATAGCGCCAGGGTTCCTTTATGCGCTGCCTTTGTTCAAAGTCTCTTCTCGGCTTCTATCAAAAACCGTGAATGCGGAAATAAGGGCGTCCTGCGACTTTGTGAGGCGCCCGTCCTCGCCTCTCGGCGGAAATCTGGTCGCCGTCAAAGCAGCCGATATTCCATGCATGATTCTGGGGGCTGGCGCGGCCGGCTCACCCAAGTTTTGATGGATGCTTTTTCAAGTGACGCGAGCGGGACACATTCGCCGGCCGCCACTTGGATTTTCTCCCCTTCGACGTGCTGATGCTGTTGTTCTTGTTTGCAGCTCCGCCCGAGTGCGAGCAGGGACACCTGTCGTGCAGCCAGTACGTGTTCAACAAGACGTACTGCATCCCGCCGTACCAGCGCTGCGACATGATGGTGGACTGCGTGGACGGCACGGACGAAGCTGAGTGCAGTGAGTGCTCGTCTTTTTCTTCTTCCCCCCTCTCTGATTGGCCATGCCCTTTCTCCGTCCCTTTCCCTCGCAGCCTTCTGCTGCGGTCGGTGAGGCGGTCGTCGGTACAAATGGATAGTGCAGACACCCCCCCCCCCTCTCATTACCGAGACGCGATGAGTCTGCCGTGGGCCTAATCACCCGGCGCAGCCAGCAGACTGATTCCGAACAATCGTTCGTCCTCTCTCTCTTGCTCACGGCCGTTGCGTCGGGGTGCGAGAGAGACAGCGCCGGAACGGCTTTTCGGAATGGCCGGGCAGGGCGCAGCGCGGCGCGGCGCGGGCGTCGCTCAAGGGAGGTAGTTCCGTGCCGGGGTGGTGCTGCTGCGAGTGCCTGCCCCGGCCGCCCCAGCCGCCCCTGGGCGAGCAAATGGGTCGTATTAGGCCTAACTGACGGGCGGGGCGGGGTGCCGCAGCACTCGCTCTAGGCCGGGCACCTACCCTCTCACTGGGCGCGGTCCAGCTTGGTCCAGAGGCACGGCGGCAAGGCCCGTGTTTTGTTGCCCATTTTCCCTCTGGCCGGCCCCGTTGCTTGGCGTTGCTTACAGCGCTGCGAGGCGCGAGGCTTGCATTGAAGCTGCAGCTCGTGGAGTGAGAATCAAAGCTGCCGCTGCCTGGCGCTTCGGGCGCTGAAACGAGGCGCGTAATGGCCCGGTCGGGCTAATTGCAAGCGCCACGCCGCACCGCGCCCAGGCACCGACGCAGCGCCAAGCAGCGCCAAGCAGCACCGCCCTCTCCTTTGACGCGCCGAGCGGCTGCTCGTGGCCGCGGGTACCGGGTGGGGCGGGGCGGCCGCCAGCGGCACCCTACCGAAAACGCGCTCCCTCTGACCGCTCTGACCTGGCCTTCTGCTTTTCCAGCCTACCGGAAGTGCCAGCCGGACGACTTCCGGTGTGGCGGCACGGACAACTCGGGACTCTGCCTGCCCAAGGAGAAGCGCTGCGACGGATACGCGGACTGCCGCAACCGGCGCGACGAGGAGGACTGTCCCGGCGGCGGCATGGCGTGCCAGCTGGACCAGTTCCGGTGCGCCGACGGCACCAAGTGCGTGGACCTGGCCCTCAAGTGCAACCACCGCACGGACTGCCACGACGGCAGCGACGAGGAGAACTGCAGTGAGTACGACAGTACGACGCGGCGAGGCCATGGCGAGGCGGCCGGGCGTGGTCGGGTTGTTGTTCTTGCATGCCGGCCCCGGAGGCCTGAACACTGTGCGCTGTGATGCAAGGTGCTGAAGGGTCACCTCGGTCGCATCAGCCCCAGCCCCAGCCTCGGCGGCCGCGGAGAGCAGCTGGGCGACCGGCCTCTTCGGAGCGCAGGGCTGCGGCCGCTGCGGCACGGGGACAGGGAGGTCTGCCGGGTCTGCCCACCGTGGGTCTGCCTCTGCCTCACGGCCGGCCAGCGCGCCTGCGAAGTCGAGGTAGGCAACCGGTCGCTGCGACGACACGCGTGCGGGCGGGCGGCCTACCTCGCAGGGGCCCGCCCAGGCCAGCCCCTTGCAGCAAGATGCAGGAAGATGGGCCGCGCGCTGAGAACGCAGTACGCACCCTCCCACAGTGTGGCGCCGTTCTCGTCGTTCCGCGTTGTTGTTGTTTGTTTCGTTGTCTCCATGTTGTCCACGCTTTGCAGACTTCCCCGCCTGCCACGTGGGGCAGTTCCGGTGCGCCAACGCCCTTTGCATCCCCATGTCCTTCCACTGCGACGGCTACCGGGACTGCACGGACGGCTCCGACGAGCTGAACTGCACGGCGACGGCCTGCCCGGAGAACAAGTTCCTGTGCCCCAAGGGCGGCGCCGACAACAGCCCCAAGTGCATCCAGCGGTCGCAGCTCTGCGACGGCAAGAGGGACTGCTCGGACGGCGCAGACGAGGAGGCGGCGTGCTGTGAGTACCGAGTACGGTGGGCCTGCGTCCAACGGAATGGGGGTTGACGACAATGACGAGGGTCTTGGTGTTCCACAGCGACGAGCAGCTGCCCCTCCCTGCGGTGCGAGTACAAGTGCCAGGCGTCCCTGACGGGCGGCGCCTGCTACTGCCCCGAGGGCCGCAAGGTGGCTAACGACTCGCGGTCTTGCATCGGTACGTACTGGACGGCGGTGGCGGTAGGCCTCCCGTGTAGGCCTACAGTGTAGGCCCCGACCTGACAGTCGGACACCACCCTAACCGTGGCGCCTTGCCTCGCCTTGCCTCGCTTGCAGACCGCGACGAGTGCCAGGAGTGGGGCTTCTGCGACCAGCTGTGCACCAACACGGACGGCTCGTACACGTGCGCCTGCGACCCCGGCTACTTGCTGACGGGCAAGGCGCACTGCTCGGCGCGCAACAGCGCCGGGATGCTGCAGCTGTTCTTCGCGTACGACCGCTCCGTGTACCGCATGGACGACCAGGGCCAGCACAAGAAGCTCGTCGCCAACGCCACGGGTGCCGCGGGTCTGGACTTCCACTACGCCAAGAACCTGCTGTTCTGGTCCGACACCAAGACGCGCAAGGTGCACGTGCAGTCGCTCCTGGGCGAGCCGACGGCGCCGACGGGGCTGGCCGCGGACGCCACGGCCTCGGACATCATGCTCCCCGGCACGTGGTCGCCTGTCGCCATCGCCGTGGACTGGGTGGGCGACAAGCTGTACGTGGCGGACTCGGTCGGCCTCAAGATCGACGTGTTCGAGTTCGACAACCGCCTCCACGCAATCGTCCTGGGCACCAACCTGACCGCGCCTGCCGACCTCGCCCTCGACCCCACCGTAGGGTAAGCGTCCTTTGCGCTTCGCGTCGCCACTACAAACGGCCGCAATCGTTGCCGTTCCAATCTCACTGTCTTTTCTTGTTCTTTTCTCTTGACAACATTCAGGCTCATGTTCATTGCGGACAGTAACCATGTCCTGCGTGCTAACATGGATGGTACAAACACTAAGTCAATTGTCTCCGAGGCCGCCTACAAAGCTTCTGGAATCACTGTAGACATAGTTGCCAAGAGAGTATTCTGGTGTGACTCTCTGCTTGACTACATTGAAACCGTTGATTATGATGGTAATAGGAGACACATGGTTGTGCGAGGTATGTATGTCAAATGTCAACTGGGCATCATGAAATTTCTAAGAACCCTTTAGAACAATTCAATTTGAAAATGTTGTGTATTTGTTACTTTCAGGCCAGTCAGTTCCCTCGCCTTCCCGCCTTACAGTATTTGAAAATCGTGTGTACTGGTCAGATGGAACTAAACAGGGTATTATGAGTGTAGATAAGTTCTTAGGGTCAGAATCCATGAGTATGGTGTACAAAGATAAGTCTGCGCGTGAACCAAGGAGTGTTAAGGCTGTACATAGTCTAGTTCAAAAGCGAGGTAAGTTCTATGGCACTTCCTTCAGTATTTTATTTTAGATCTTTATTGTAGTCTCTGATTATTTTATTTGATTATTTCATACAGTTACCAACCCTTGTGGAAACAATAACGGAGGGTGTCAACATATGTGTATAGTCACTGCCTCTACTGAAAATGAGCACCAACTTGGATATAGGTGTGCTTGCAACATTGGTTCAATGCTGGCCAGTGATCAACGCAACTGTTATTGTAAGTTCTATTGATATTAATAATGCATATTATGCAACTTGGGTCATGACACGCTCTTTATTTCTGGTTGATATTGTTTTTCAGTGGTGAGGGAGTTCCTGATGTCATCCCAGCAGAGGTTCATCAAGGGACGTATTTTAGACCCTGTGATTGAGGGATTTGGTGATGCTATTTTACCAGTAGTTTCACGTCGAGCCCGGTTTGTTGGTCTCGACTTTGATGCCAAAGAAGAATTCATTTACTATTCCGATGTTCTCCAAGACGTTATTTACAGGATACATAAAAATGGAACAGGTAATTTTCCAGTTGGTTTCAGGATTTTGTTTCAATTATTTTTTCTCAAACTGATGAAGAATTTTTGATTGAAACTTCTAGGCAGAGAGATTGTTCTTGCATCCCAGAATGAAGGTGTAGAAGGTCTTGCTGTTGACTGGGCATCCAAAAACCTGTATTACATTGACAGTAGGAAAGGAACTCTCAATGTTCTCAGCACAAGAAATGTCACATATCGGCGGACACTTCTGAAAAATTTAAAACGGCCACGTGCTATTGTTGTTCATCCTAACAAAGGGTAAGTAATTGCTGAATTTTTTAATTGATTTAAGTTGTTGTGCTCAAAGTCACATCGTTAAAATTTTTCTCTGTGTAGGTATATTTTCTTCTCTGAATGGGACCGGCCTGCAAACATCAGCAGGGCAAATTCAGATGGCACAGATCTGCTAGTATTCCGTAATGTCACTCTAGGGTGGCCCAATGGCCTCTCAGTCGACTTTGTAAAAGACCGCCTGTACTGGTGTGATGCCTTGTTAGATCATGTTCAGCATTCAAACCTTGATGGAACTGATGTACGGACTGTCAATTCAAGATTGATTAGACATCCATTTTCCATTGTAGTCCACCAAGGTATGTTCAACAATTGCTTTTCTTTGTTTTCTATTATTATTTTATGACCAATAATCACTTTTATTATTCGGTATTTCAGAATGGATGTATATAACAGATTGGAGATTAGATGCCATAATAAAAATGCACAAGTTGACTGGTGAGAAAGAAGAAATATTATTTAGAGAACCTCAAACCAACAGACTTTATGGTGTCAAAGTATACAGTGATACTGTCCAGACTGTTGATACAAAGCAACCTTGTTCCATAAATAATGGGGGGTGTCAAAAACTCTGTTTTGCTGTTCATCGTAGCAATCCCAGTGAGGGTCTTAATGTAAGTTGCAATTCTACAGTCGTTTGTTAGTTTTATTTTTGTTGGCCGTTTGGTCTCTGTATTTACTATAAACATTTGACAGGCTAAATGTGGATGCCCTTATGGTGAACGTCTTGCAAATGATGAGAAAACATGCCAACCAGATCCCAATGCTGAACCTCCAGTAGCCGCTTGCCCAAATGCATGGGACTTTACATGCAACAATCAAAGGTGTATTCCAAAGGCGTGGGTTTGTGATGGGGATGATGACTGCTTGGATAATTCAGATGAAGATCAAAACTGTACCAGTAAGTGAAACTTATGATTTTCAAATGGTACTTTATGTCTGCTTTTACACTTTGTTTGAGTATGCCTTCTTGTTTTCTTTATTTTGAAGAACCTACTTGTGCCCAAACCGACTTCCAATGTGCGTCTGGTCGTTGCATTCCCCACAACTTCCATTGTGACGCAGAAAATGACTGTGGTGACTACTCTGATGAAACCGGATGTGTGAATGTCACTTGTTCGGTATCTCAGTTCCTCTGTGAAAATGGACGCTGCATTCCAGCCACTTGGAAGTGTGACTCTGAAAATGACTGTGGAGATGGTAGTGATGAAGGAGATTTCTGTGCAGAGAAAACGTGTGCCTACTTCCAGGTATGGTCCAATTTCAATCTTGTCCCTGTAAAAGAAGAAACAAACTTCCACATGACATTTTTTTCTAAACAATGCTTTTATTTACAGTTTACTTGTCCGAGATCTGGCCACTGTATCCCTCAGTCATGGGTCTGCGATGGTGACAATGATTGTTTTGATAATCAGGATGAGGAAGGGTGCCCTCCAATTACATGTTCTGCTACGCAATTTAAGTGTGCAGATTTAAAGCAGTGCATTCAAGAATCATACAAATGTGATGGAATTCCAGATTGTAATGATGGCAGTGATGAACTAGGATGTCGTAAGTGCACCACTGCATTTTTATTTTATTTACAGAATAATTTTAAATAAAGAGGATTTAACTGTTTATTGTCTGTTTAAACAGCCTCCATTGCGCCAGATCAGTGTGATGCTGAGAAGCAGTTCCAGTGTGCTCAATCTGCAATCTGCATACCCAGATCCTGGCACTGCGATGGCCAGCCGGACTGTGACGACGAAAGTGACGAGCCTCCAACTTGCGGCGAGGTAGCATGTCAGAACGGTTTCTTCAAGTGCAACAACTCAAAGTGTGTGTTCAAGGCCTACATCTGTGATGGAAATAATGATTGTGGAGATAACTCTGATGAGGACCCAAGACATGCCTGTGGACCTCCACCATTTAGGTAGGATAATACGTTGATTTTGTAAGATACTTTTGTTGTCCAAGGCCTCCAAAACCAGGTTCCATTTATTATCTTGATGCATACACTTTTAGGTGTGACTCTGGCCAATGGCAATGTCCTGGAGTGGCTGAACGTTGCATCAACATTACTCAACTCTGTGACAATAAGGCGGACTGTCCCAATGGTGCTGATGAAGGCGAGGGCTGTGATCTAGCAGAATGTCAGCATCAAGCTGGTCTTTGCTCCAATGGGTGCCAGCAAACACCAAATGTATGGGTTTGTTTGGATTAAATCCACGTATTCAGCACAGAGTCCCGTATTTATTTCTTCGTTTATTTATTATTCTGTTCCAGGGAGCTTTGTGTATTTGCCCATCTGGTGAAGTTCTTTCCAATGACACTGTAACATGTGAAGATCTCAATGAATGTGAACCTCCTGGCATTTGCTCACAAACCTGCACAAACATTAAAAAAGGATTTGTTTGTAGCTGTGTCAAGGGATATGAACTCGAATTCGACAACAAGACCTGCAAAGCCATTAGTAAGTTGTGGTTTCTTCACTTATTCTTTTGTTGTCCTGACTACTTTTCTATTTTTAATACAAATTGTGCATTTTTTGTTACTCTTTTTTTTCAGATCACAGTGTTGCTTTCCTTGTTATATCCAATCGGCACTCTATTTTGGTGGCTGACTTGAAAGATCAGGGGTTGCAAAGAGTGCCCATAATTGTAGAAAATGTTGTTGCAACAGCATCCAACATGCACACAAACACAATATTTTGGTCAGATATGAAGCTGAAGAAGATTTCTCGGCTAGACAGAGATAGTGAGCCTCAAGACGTGATATCAACAGGTTTAGATTTAGTAGAAGGCTTAGCATATGATTGGGTGGCAGGAAATCTGTATTGGCTGGATTCAAGACTTGGTACAATTGAAGTAGCGCGAGAAAATGGATCAGATCGCATGGTACTACTCAAAGAAAATATTACTCAACCTCGTGGAATGGCATTGGATCCCAGTGAAGGGTAAGGAGGACTGTCATTTTGCAAGACTAATTATTTTAATTCATCAAATTAAAATTTACATGGTCAAACTGATGGAATTCTGTTTTTGCAGAGCCCGCTGGCTGTTTTGGACAGATTGGGGTGAAAATCCAAGAATAGAGCGCATTGGTATGGATGGCACAAATCGCAGCACTATAATTAGTACTAAAATTTACTGGCCCAATGGTTTGACTCTGGATGTAGCCAACAAAAGAGTGTACTTTGCTGACTCCAAATTGGACTTCATAGATTTTTGTTATTACAATGGAACAGGAAGGCAGCAAGTTGTTGCTGGCAGTCACTATCTTTTGCATCCTCACTCGCTTACAGTTTTTGAGGACACAATTTATTGGACGGATCGACAGCTTAATAGAGTTAGTATCACACCTTGCCATTACTTGTGTGACTCTATATTATTTTCTACTGTTCCTATATCTATGTTATTTTCGGGACGTGTTTAGGTACTTTCGGCCCATAAGTACAGAGGGAAAAACCAAACGGTTGTCTCTCACCTGATATCTCAGCCTCTCAGCATTCATGTGAACCATCCATCACTTCAGCCAGATTCCCCCAACCCATGTGTCAAAGCCAGTTGTGGACAATTGTGTCTTCTTTCACCATCATCTGCAACAGGGTACACTTGCAAATGCAAGCCTGGTTTCAGGACAACAAAGAATGGCCAATGTGTGGAGGGTATGTATTTTGCCCAGAAATACGAAACCACCAATCTTGTTATACGTACCTCTTGTCTTAGTTCCTATTAATTTATATTTTATTTTACAGAGGAGAATCCCTTCTTATTGGTCATGAGAGGTTCACAGATTATTGATGTGAGCATGGCACCAGGAGACAAAACAAGTGGATCTCTCACTCCAATTGTTGGAATAGATGGTGGTGTTCACATTGACTATGATAGGAAAACTCAGACTATGTTCTGGGTTGAAGGAAAGGATGACGACAAGAAGGATGATGATGACAAAGATGATAGAGAAAATGTAATTTTGAATACAATTTAATAGGAGTGTGACTTATTAACCTTTCCTGTTTTAATGTTTATTAAACATTTGCAGTGCACAATTTGGACTACTCCCTATGGTGGAGGCAATAAGACTGAATTTTTGGGAAGTGCCACTGGTATTGTTGGTGCTCCGTACACTATTGCCTTTGACTGGATTGGAAGGAATTTATATATTGGAAACCGATTGGCTTCTAACTTTGAAGCTGTAAAAGTTGATGGCAAAGTTAAGCATCGCTCAGTCATTCTAGCCAATGATGGAAACAAAACATCTGTTGCAAAGCCAAAATCAATGTGTTTGGATCCTACTGAAGGGTGTGTAATATTTTTTGTAACTAAATTTATTTTTAAAATCTCCTTTTTTTAAACAATTTTAATGTTTTATTTTGTAAATTTAGGAAGCTTTATTGGGTGGATGAAGGCGGCTATGGAGTTCCCCCAAAGGTTGCTAAAGTGAATATGGATGGAACAAAACCTGTTATTTTGCTGGATGATATTCAACGTCCAGAAGCCATCACCATTGACCTGAAAGAAAAGATGCTTTACTTCAGTGCTCAGTACCCAAGTTATGTTAAAGTAATGGATGTTAATGGAAACAATCTCCGTACTTTACTGAGTGAGACCAATAACATTGCACAGCCTAAAGCTCTAGGTGTCTATGATAATCGTCTGTTTTACCTTGATCCAAAGTATGAGCGCATAGGCAGAGTGGATCTACCCAGTGGTGATAACCCTAAAGTATTATTGGAAAATGAGCCTGACCTAAAGACTTTTGCAGTTTATCAAAAGCAGCAACCTTGTAAGTATTGCTTATTTCAATTTGTTTCTTTCTTTTCTTTTTTTATTGTTTCAAATTTGTTTAACATTTTTGTCTTTTACAGCCGTGAATCACCCTTGCATGAACAACAATGGTGGCTGTGAGCAACTGTGTATTCCCTCAGACGGTAATTCCAGGGTGTGTGCTTGTTCAGTTGGTTTCCGGAAGGAAAATCAAGTCACTTGTTCACCGTACAAGACCTTTGCTGTTGTGTCCCAGCTGGATATAACACGAGGGTACAGTCTTAAGGATTCTTCTGAAGCAATGGTTCCTATAAGTGGCCCAAGTATGTTGCATTCATGACCTGTTTACATTTTCTTCATCTAATTAAAAAAGAAAAAGAAAAGAAAACAGAAACACTTTGTTTGTATTTCAGATCATCACATCTTACATGTGGATGTTCTCTACAAAAGCAATTGGATTTATTGGGTTGAGTTCAATCGTGGAGTGTGGAATGGAATTTTCCGTGTTAGACCCAATGGCACAGAGTTGGAGCCTGTTGTGAAGGATGGAATAGGGTCCAATGGCATTAGGGGATTGACGATTGATTGGATTGCTGGGAATCTTTATTTCACAAACGTTTTTCCTCATGAGAACTACCTTGAAGTGTGCTGGCTAGATGGTTCCCACAGGAAGGTTTTAGTTCGAACTACAACTGACGCACCCAGAGAGTTAGCAGTGAATCCTGTCAAAAGGTGCGCGGTGCTTACCAAAACAGAAAATTTACTTAATGTTTGCTCTATTTTCTTTGAAGTTTTACATAATGCTTGTTGTCTTGTTGCAGGTTGTTGTACTGGATTGACTACGGACAGTACCCTCGCATTGGCAAAGCCTACCTGGATGGAACAAACTGGCAGCCAATTGTTACATCAGGAATCAGCAACCCACGTGATCTCACAGTAGATATGCTCACTCATGATGTTTATTGGGTTGACTCTAAGCTTGACATGATTCAAAAGGTTTCATACAGTGGTGGAAACAGACAGGTATGTAGTTATTTTATCTAAGCCTTGACTATTTCGCGATTCGCAAGTAGGCTCCAAGAAAAGATGTACCGATTTTTCTGATTTCATTATTGTTTTTAGGTAATCCGTCGTAATTTACCCAATGCTATGGGTGTAGCTATCCACATGTCAGATGTGTACTGGGTTGACCGAAACCTTAACACTGTCTTCCGAGCATCAAAACTCCCTGGCAATACATCTTTAGCAACTCAAGTTAGGACCAACCTTGCTAAGCTAAGGGACATCGCTATATTTGACCTTACTAATCAACCACCAGATGATACTAACCCATGTCAAAGATTGGGCAATGGAAACTGTGACCAGCTTTGTTTCTCCTATCCACAAGAGCTTTCATCTAACAAGGTATTTACACAGTTCAAATTTTAGTCAAATGCTGTTGTTTGGTTTTATTTTTTCATAATGTTAAAATATTTTTGCTTCATTTTGCAGTTTCACTATAGATGCGATTGTGCAACTGGTGAGCTATCTCCACCTCAAAATGGTAACAAATGTGACACGGTGTCTGAATATTTAGTCTTTTCTACAAGGACAGAAATACGGTCGATTCATCTTGACCCTAAGGAAACAAGTGTTCCATTCAGGCCAGTGGTATGTTTTGTTGTCTACTGATAAACTTAAAAAGACTTTCAATTCAAGTACCTTCTACCATATCTTTTTCTATTTTTGCAGGGCAATCTCACTAATGTGGTTGGGGTTGATTTTGATTATGCAGATCATAAGCTGCTTTTTACTCAAATCAGGCCATGGGCTAAAATTGGTTACATGTCTAGCACTGATCCTAATGCAAATGACATTCACAATATTATTACTAGAGGTATCAACCCTGAAGGCATTTCATATGATTGGACTCAGAAGAAAGTCTACTGGACAGATTCTTCCAACAACAGCATCTATGCAATGAATACTGATGGCTCTGATTTGGTGATGATTGCCAGAGTAGAACGGCCAAGGGCTATTGTGGTAGATCCCTGCAATGGATCGCTCTACTTCACTGACTGGGGACGTTTTGGACTCTCAGGGAAGATCTTCCGTACAACCATGGCTGGCTCTCTTAAGAAAGCAATCATAGACAAAGATTTGTCGCAGCCAAGTGGCTTGGCTATTGATTACGATGACAGAATGCTTTACTGGACTGATGCAGTTAGAGAGAAAATTGAGAGGTCAACTTTGACTGGTGAAAATCGGGAAGTTTTGATTTCAGCTACAATCTATCCTTTTGCCATCACTGTCCATGGAGGATACATTTATTGGACTGATTTACAACTACGTGGGGTCTATAGAGCTGAGAAATACACTGGTGCAAATATGATAGAAATGGTCAAGCGCCTAGAAGATTCCCCAAGAGATATCCACGTATTCTCTGCAGCAAGTCAAAAATGTTCTGTTAATCCTTGCCATATCAACAATGGTGGATGTTATCAATCTTGTCACCCCGGTCCCAATGGGACAGTTGAATGTAAATGTGATGAAAATTCCAAACTTGTCAACGAAAACCGAATGTGTGTTCGCAAGAATATGACATGTGATAGCAGTAAATTCTACTGCCGAAATGGAAAGTGTATCTCACGCATGTGGGCATGTGATGGTGATGACGACTGCGGTGACAACAGTGATGAAGATCTAAACTACTGTACCTATCACTCATGTAGTCCAAATGAGTTCCGTTGCAATAATGGTAGGTGCATTTTCCGCTCCTGGAAGTGTGACCATGAGAATGATTGCCGTGATGGTTCTGACGAATTGGACTGTAACTACCCTCCTTGTGCCACTGGAGAATTCACTTGTGCCAACCACCGTTGCATCCCCATGTCTCAAGTATGCAATGGAGTCAATGACTGCAAGGATAATGGAACAACTGATGAGACACATGAGCGCTGCCCTAGAAACACCACCTGTCCTGTAAACCACTTGAAATGTGAGAAGACCAACATTTGTGTTGAGCCATACTGGTTGTGTGATGGCGATAATGACTGTGGAGACAACAGTGATGAAGATCCCATGCATTGTGCACCAAGAACTTGCCCCCAAAACAGCTTCCGTTGCCCTAACCATAGGTGCATACCAGCCACCTGGTACTGTGATGGCGATGATGACTGCGGTGATGGATCTGATGAGCCGCCAGAGTATTGCAAATCAGAAGGAAGGACCTGCTTTGGTGACCTGTTTACATGTGATAATGGAAACTGCATACCAAGGATTTACATTTGTGATGGCGATAATGATTGTTTGGACAATTCTGATGAAGATAACAGACATCAATGTAATGATAGGAAGTGTGATGAAGAAACGGAATTCACTTGCACAGAAAATAAGCATTGGAATCGAGCTCAGTGCATACCACGCAAGTGGCTGTGTGATGGAGATCCTGATTGTGTTGATGGTGCAGATGAAAATACTACTTTGCACAGCTGCCCTACACCACAGCCATGCAGTGACGAACAATTCACTTGCGGGAATGGACGCTGCATTAATAAGGGATGGCTGTGTGATCATGACAACGATTGTGGAGATGGTACAGATGAAGGAAAGGAATGTAACTCACAGTACAAAACTTGTAGTCCTCAAGAATTTGCTTGTCAAAATTTCAAATGTATAGGAAGTGTATATAAATGTGATGGAGAAGACGATTGTGGAGATCACTCAGATGAAATGGGATGTGAGAAGAAGAACAAAACTTGTGCCCCTGGACAATTCCAATGTACTAATGGGGAGTGCATAGAATATCAATTGGTGTGCAACAAAGTTTCTGACTGTTCAGATGACTCCGATGAACCGCTGCATTGCAATGTTGATGAATGCTCCAAGGTTGAAATTCATCAGTGTGGTCACAAGTGTGTTGATACCTTAACTGGATATTTCTGCGAGTGCAACCAGGGCTACAAATTATTAAGTGATGGTAAAGCATGCGCTGACATAGATGAATGTGTTGAAACACCTGGTGTGTGTTCACAGTTGTGCTCGAATACTCCAGGATCCTACTACTGTAAATGTGATGAAGCTTACTATGACCGAGAGCCAGATGAACATACTTGCAAAAGCAGAGATCGCACAAAGCCGTGGATTTTATTCACTAATAAATATTATGTCCGCAACATGTCCCTAGATGCTTCCCAGTACAGTTTGATGCATCAAGATCTCATGAATGTTGTTGCCCTTGATTATGACTATAAGGACAACAAAATCTACTTCTGTGATGTGTCAGCCAAAACAATTTTCAGGTCAACCATTGGGGGTGATGGTACTAAAGAACCTGTCATCAGGCATGACAGTCATGGCCTGGAAGGAATCGCAATCGATTGGGTAGGAAGAAAGCTTTACTGGCTTGACAGACACAGTAAGCATTTAGATGTCTCTGAATTGGATGGCACTCGACGCAAGACTCTCAAGGCTGGCATTCCTGATCCGAGAGCTGTAGTTGTGCACCCTGGCATTGGATATTTGTTCTTCACCAGCTGGCATCTTCAAGCATTCATCGGTAAAATGGGAATGGATGGTTCCAATTTCACACGTATTCTCAACTGGAATAATGACATTGCTTGGCCCAATGCCCTCACTATCGACTATTTTACTGACCGCATTTACTTTGCTGATGCCCATCTTGATTACATTGCTTCTACTGATCTTGAAGGGCATCATCGGCATGTCGTATTATCTGGAGAAAAAGTGCCACATGTGTTTGCCATTACCCTCTTTGATGATTTCATTTATTGGACAGATTGGAACCTCAAGGCCATTAGCAAAGCTAATAAATTTACTGGTAAAGATCTAGCAGTGATTCGCAATACAACTCATCGTCCTTATGATATTCATATCTTCCATCCTCTACGTCAGCTGCCCTATCCTAATCCATGTGGTGCAGACAATGGTGGATGTTCACATTTGTGCTTGCTGAAACCTGTACCAGGAGTTGATCCTAGCCCGGATGGGTATGGTGAGACACAAAGCCCAGTAACATACACTTGCGCCTGTCCAAACCAATTTTTCCTCGCTCAAGACAACAAGACTTGTGTAGCAAATTGTACTGCTGGCCAACATCATTGCCAGGGATCTGATGAAAAATGTATTCCCTGGTTTTGGAAGTGCGATGGTGAAAGAGACTGCAAGGATGGATCAGACGAACCAGCTTCCTGTCCAAGCCGCCACTGCCGAGCTGGAGCCTATCAGTGCGACAATGGGAACTGCACAGCATCTGCCACCATTTGTGATGGAGTTGATGATTGTGCGGATGGCTCTGATGAGAAGCATTGTGAGCTGCCATGCCCAGACCTAGAATTTAAATGTAGGTCCAATGGACGTTGTGTTCTGAATTCGTGGAAATGCGATGGAGATGCTGACTGCAAGGATGCCAGTGATGAAGACCCAGCAATTTGTCACAACCGTGAATGTGATCCTGAAACAGAGTTTACCTGCAAAAATGGTCGGTGTATCCAAAAGTTGTGGCAATGCGATTTTGACAATGACTGTGGAGACGATTCTGATGAGCCAGCGTATAAATGCAGACAGCGCCAGTGCCCTAATGGTTGGCAGAGATGCCCAGGCCAAGCTAACTACAGATGTATTCCCAAATGGTTGTTCTGTGATGGAAAGGATGATTGTCGAGATGGCAGTGATGAACTGCCACAGAATTGCCCCAAGTGCCATGAAACAGGAGATTTCCAATGTGCCAACAATAACCGCTGCATCCCCAAAAGATGGCTTTGTGACTTTGAAAATGACTGTGGTGACAACAGTGATGAGAGCGAAGCACTGTGCCGTGGGTCTTACCGAGAGTGCTCTGAATCTGAATTCCGGTGCAACAACAACAAATGTATTCCGAATAGATGGAGATGTGATCATGATGATGACTGTGGGGATGGCAGTGATGAGCTCAATTGCTCTGGATTTAGTTGTAAGAATGGAACATTCCAATGCGCAAGTGGCCACTGTATAGCTGCTTACTTCCGTTGTGATGGGGATAGAGACTGCCGTGATATGTCAGATGAACTAAATTGTCCACCACGCTATCCCAATGGTCGTTACTGTCCAGAGTCCAAATTTGAATGTAACAACCACCTATGTATTATGCAGGGTGACCTATGTGATGGAGCTGATGACTGTGGAGACAACTCTGATGAATCTCCTGAGCAATGTTCCAACTTCAGCTGTGATACTGTCAGAAGGTTCCAATGTGACAACCACCGCTGCATTCCAAGATACCAGCTCTGCGATGGGCAAGACAATTGTGGTGATGGAAGTGATGAGAATAATGTGGCAATCTGTAAGGGTAACAACAAAGCATGTGACTCGTATGCAGAGTTCCAGTGTGCTAATAAAAAGTGTATTGAACGAAGCATGGTGTGTGATTACGCTGACGACTGTGGTGACTCATCAGATGAACTTGGCTGCCATCATAATAAGGTCTGCCTCGAAGCCACCAGGGGTGGATGTGAGCACCACTGCCAGAACCTAACTACTGATGGGGGATACATTTGCACCTGCTTCAGTGGCTACATAATATCACCAGAAAATAGGAAGAAGTGCCTGGATGTAGATGAATGTGCTACTGGAACACACACATGCTCCCAACTCTGTAACAATCTGAATGGAACCTTTGGCTGTGCTTGTAGAGAAGGCTTTGCATTGTCTGATGGTGGTATTTGTAAAACACTATCAAAGGATATGGCTGAGACTACCATAATCTTCTCAAGTGGTCCGGAGATCCGAGCTTACGGTCTTTTGTCAAGGAGAGAAGCTGATGTCATTGCTGATGAAAAACGCATAGAAGCTATTGATTTTGATCCTAAATCAGAGATGGTGTTTTGGGCTGATTCATATGACCGTACCATCAAACGGTCATTTATGTTGAATGCCCAAAATGGAAATGCCAAAATTGGACATGCTCAAGATTTAAACACCAAAGGTAAGTGTTTTGGCAATTGCCTGAAGTACTTCGTGACTTCTAAGAAAAATGTTTGTGGATTTTATCTACCTTTCCCATGCATTGACTTACTTCTCTTTTCATTTTCAGGCACCTGGAAAACAACAGGCTTGGCAGTTGATTGGATTGCTCACAATCTTTACTGGACAGAATTGGACAGATCAGGAACGAAACAGAAGGGCCGAGTCATGGTGTCGAAGACTGACGGGAGGTACCGGCGTTCCCTTGTGTCTGGTGTGTTGGAAGCGCCTACGTCAGTAGCTGTGGATCCACAATATGGTAGGATGTTCTTTGCTGATTCTGGTTCCACAGCCAAAATAGAAATGGCATGGATGGATGGATCAAGGCGACGTCCCCTGGTTGTTGATAATATTCGCCACCCTACAGGTAACTAGCCCTCTTGTTTTAAAATTACTTCAACCTTTGATGACTGCTGTTTCTTACATTTATTTGTTTTTTCTAGGATTGACTATTGATTATTCCATGGATCACACTCTGTTTTGGGCTGATGCAAAATTGGACAAAATTGAAAGTATCAGACAAGATGGATCAAACAGAATGACTGTTATAAGAGGAGGTAAGAAATCAATGGCATATTAGAACGAAAACAGAACAACGGAAGTACACCTTGGATAGTTTTTAATCATTTTCTTTTTCGTTTGACAGATAAACTTCATCACCCGATTTCAATGGATGTATTTGAAAGCACACTTTATTGGGTAACACGGGATACAGGAGAACTTATAAAACAAGATAAATTTGGAAGAGGTGTACCAGTTACTGTTGCTCGAGATCTCACAAACCCAACTGGTGTCAAAAGTAAATTACCATACTATGTCTAAAATATTATGGCACTATAGTATTTAACCAAAGAGCTCTTTTTAAAAATAAAATCACTTCTGTTGCAGTTTACCATAAGCTAAGGTACAACACCTCCATCAGTGATCCTTGCCATGACCACCATTGCTCTCATCTGTGCCTCATTGTGCCTGGAGGTTTCCGTTGTGCTTGCCCAGATGGCTCTGGTGCAAGAAAAGCAGGGTCGAGTGAAGCTGTGTGTGATGCAGGTACATTTGCAGTCGTATTATTTTCCCTTCTAAATGGCAAGGGCAGAAAAATATGAGAACTGAAACAAATTTTAGCAATAAATGTCAAAATTTTCAATGAAAATTGTCAATTTTTCAGCGGCGGAGCAGGAGCGCCCAGCGCCACTGGTGTGCCCTTGCCAGAATGGTGGGCTGTGCCGACAGACTGATGGCAGCAACGACGTGCAGTGCGCCTGCCCGCCCGACTATCACGGCCAGTACTGCGACGACCACGTGCAGCGCACCAGGGCGCCGGGGTCTGCGGCCAGCACTGCGGCCATCGTCATACCCATCGTCGTCATCCTCTTGCTCCTTCTAGCTGCGGGGGCGGTGTACTTCGTGCACCGGAAACGACCTTTGTAAGTCTAGATACCATTCATTGCTGGCTGAATTTCATGTAATCATTAGAAATAATAATAACATTGCCGTTTCTTCTTTTGCACAGTGGTAAAGGGTCTGGTCTAGGAGGGCTCACTAACTCCCAAAGTGTGTCATTCCGACAAGGGACTAATGTTGAGTTTGGAGCATCGTCATTTCCTCCAAATGGTCCATCATCTCAAAGAGGAGTGAGTAAATTAGCTCTGTGTACCTTGTATGTTGATGTGAGTGGAGAACAAATTATTTTTACCTCGTCTGTTGTGTTCACAGGAGCCATTGGATGTCGAATACAATCTGGGTGATATGGGTGCCAAGAGTCGTGACTTCAGCAACCCGATGTACGACGCGCTTGGCGGTGAAGGCGGGGGCGGCACTGGCCCCGGAAACGGCAGTGGCATTTATGAGGTGCCAGCAGATGTCGCCAAGTCAAAGTTCAACGCAGATGCTGGGGTCATGTCAAGTCCAGAACCAGCATCCGCAATCCTAGCCCCATCCAGTGTTATTCAGCGGTCTTCTCCGCAAATTCACATACGGCACCGAGAACTCGACCCTACCTCAGTAGACACAGGCAAAGATACACAAAAGCTTGTCGAAGAGGACCGGTCAGACTGCTAGCCACACTGAACCGCATCAAATGCGGGAGGACGTACAAATTTTGTGGTATATCCAGACTGCTAGTGGAAACCTATGCTGTGCTCACACCACACTAAACCTTTTCTTTTCTTTCCCCCAAAATTTTCAAGTGTATTTATGATTTTATTAGAAACAAGAATTAAATGTGTTCTTTTGTTTCTTAGAGGTCAAACACACAATGTCTTAAAATATTATTAGCAAGCATAGGATTTGTCTGAATCTCAATATCCTAAAGAAAAGAGACTATATTGTGTCAATAATTTTGTATGTATTTTATGTTATGACTTGTTAAGTGGTGTAATTTTATTCTTTTTGTTTTTGTTAATGATTGTTGGCCCACCTATTCCTCTCTCTCTCTGCCTTGAACTTTCTCGATTAGGGTATTCTCAATATTTATTGCATGATACTGTGAACAACTGGAAACAAGCTAGTATTTTATGTTATTTGACTGTCCCCTTCTTTTTAGCACTAGTGACACATATTGTGTTTGTTAGCTAGGTTGAGCTTTCCTCAGCCAATTAGAACTTTTAGAACTTCTTAAAACCTTTTTTTATTTGCTTTAAATTTAGGAAAGTGTTGCAACTCAACCTATTTCATTTGGTCTATTATGAAAAGAAAAATGAGGGAATATCAATGCTGTGTTCTTAAACTTGTTTGTTTCCTACCTTTAGACAATTAGGCTGTAGATGCAAGCCGGAGAGGGAGAGGGAAATTTTAAGACCTGTCTAGTTAAATGCGGCCAACATGTCACAACTGACAGGTCTTTATAATCCAAAGTGAGCTGATTGCTGCAGCTTATGCCATAACAAGACATCTGGTGCCTCAATGTTGATTGAAGTGTCTCTTAGCATTGTGATTGTTACCAAGGACAGTTTTTGGGACCTGCTCAACAACACACACGTAATTGATTTGTGTGTGACTTGTCTGTTAATATATTTATATATATAAATACATGCATATCTATATATATAAATAGTGCTACTCTAGATGTTATTTATTGATTGAAATTAAAAATAATCCAATTTTTTTTTTTTGAACATAATTTTTGTAGAAGATTGGTCTAGTAAGTGTTAGACAAATTTAAATTTACACATTCCGTCTTATTACTTAGTCTTTAAGAGAGTGCATTGCCTACTTCTTTGTGAACAGCTCACACTATTCATTATGTATGGGTGCATACAGAGCTGATGATTTTAAATTGTGATAATAGGGAGTAAATACAGCCTTTAAATTGTGTTTTTATCAGCTAATTGCGATGTTTGTGAAGTGATGTTTTCAATAATTTAGTATTGATTAATGGCCATACTTGGGCTTAATCCCAAAACACCTTTCTGTACCTGGTTCGTAGATGAAGAGCCAGTTTCTTAGATGTTTTGCTTACAAGCTCTAAAATTATTCATTTGTTTTATTTTATACATGTTGAAAATTCTAAGTCTATTTAGAAATCTATGAAGAAACTGCTTCTAAATACTGTAAATGAGATTAAATCCTGTTTATTTTTCTATAGGTTAGAGGTGAATCGGTGTAATTGTTAATGAAAACAGATGAACTGTCTCATAATTTCCAATGATGTACATAATGTTTCTAACCTGAATATTGGAACTGTAAAATAATGTATGTTATTGACAGAAAAAGAAAGTTTAGAACAGTTGAATCAAACTTTATTTTGTCTCTCATACCGCACACTAGTCACAGGACATATAAATGCAAATCTTCCTTGGTATATTAATTTTAAGTAGTCATTCAAAAGTTTTATTTCAATTATGCCAATTGAGTTAACACTGAGCCTGTCTCATCTACACTTAATCCCTCATGCTGAAGTAACCATACTTTGACAGTATTGCGGCAACCACCTGAATATTTTCCCACCTTGTTACCGCTTTTTACCACTCGATGACATGGGACAATCAACTGAAAAGGGTTTGAGGCCATTACAGTCCCAACAGCCTGTTGTGCTCCTATGAGATATGAAGAAAACAGTAAGCATAAACTTTAAAGACTAAAAAATAATTAATTATGACTGACGCAATATAACAAACCTGGGCTTCCAGCAAACGATGCAAGCTCTCCATAAGTAATAGTTTTCCCAAATGGCACCTTATCAACCAAGTAAAAAAGAACTCTTTCTCGGAAAGAGAGATCTAGAAAGAACAGATTTTTTTCTTGGTAAGTTGCATGGTTTATAGTATTTTGACGACAGTACATATAAAATCATCAATAGCCTCTTACCGTCCACAGAGAGAGGGCACAGTAACGGGATGCAAAGATGAGATACATTGCCAACATTGTGAAAATACGTTTCAAGCCATTTTAGACAATTCTCAAGACAATTTTTTACTTTTTCATCTTGTGGAGGGTTGCTGAGTAAAGAAGTGTGTTTGCTGCAGACAGAACAGACAAACAAAACATCATGTCCTGCACCACGCATTAGCTGAAAGTTTTCAAGGCCAAAAGGAGCCATAACACAAACAAAACAAAATCGTTAAAATCTTGAATTATGCTAAACAAGTATGCAATTTTCACCTTGTATCTGGCACGAAGTTCTCGTCTGTGATATTGTCTTTTTGATAAATCATGTGTAACCCTTGGCTACAGACGCAAAGTAGCATTTCCCCAATTGGCGTAGAAACTCGAAATGTCTCCAGGGTTCTCTTCTTTCCGTCGCCGCAAGCCGCAGCAATCCGCGATCGTGTCGAGCTCTTCATTTCAAGATCACAAGAAATAGAGGTAATTTTGACTGACTGACCGGCACGAACACGCGATAGGCTCTGGCTACGAGCTGTTGTTGTTGTTGGTTGATGTATTCAAACACTGTACGACAAGCGACAAAGGAAGTCCGACAAGGTAGACTCTACAAATGATCAAACAACAACAACAAAAATCCAAAAAAATGTACACTTTTCGCAGAATGTGAGTTGTTGCGAATGTCATGCCGAACATTTCAAAATTATAATTTTAAGAACAGGTAGAATCTATTCAAAAGTGTGGTTTAGGGATCCAAACACCTCTAAAACAGAAATTTAAAACAGAAATTAGATTATCGCCGTCCGCTTGCCCAACCTGTTCCCGCCTGTCCCCTCCCCCTGACCTCAGAACGCATCCCCCCCTCTCCCCTTTCCTTTTTCTCGGCGTCTGCTTCTTTCCTGTCTGCTACAGGACCCAAACTTTTTGAGCGGAGCTGTTAGTGATTAGCAGGCACTCCGTGCAGTGAAATGGATTTGAAAGGAAAAGTTGCTCTAGTTACTGGAGGCACCGGTGGTATAGGCCGGGCTTGTTGTGAGGAATTGCTGAAGCAGGGTGCAAAGGTGAGGCGAGATGGGCGTCGGGCGTCGGCTGCTGGGCGGTGTTGTTTGGGTGGGGGGTCCGAGTTTGTTTTGACAGCTGCTTTCAAACTATTTAATCGACACACTTGTCCATCACGAACCCCTGCAATTAGATCACACATTCTTTTCTCTCTTTTCTGTCATGCTTGGTGGTTACTTAATGCTAGTTTGGTTATTGGCGGTAAATCTTATCTCCTCATCTAAGACTTTGCTCTTTGTGCTCCATGGTTTTCGCTGTATCCCTTTAGTTTATATTTATCCGTTTGCTTATTGTTGATTTTTTTTTCGAAGCGATAAAATTAAGATCTAGTTCAGGACAAGACTCTCTCTTTCTCAGGTATCTGTTTGTGACTTGGACATGGCTGAAGGAGAGCACTTGGTGAAGCAGCTCAGCCTGAAGTATGGAAAGGATAAAATCCTTTTCTGTCAATGTGATGTGACTGACTATCCTCAGTTTGAAGGTATCACCACTTTTTTAAAGGTCATAAACCCCAACTTAAGCAAATGCAAAACGTAAGAACATTTTTTTGTTCCACAGAGTCATTTCAAACAACAATGGCAGCACTAGGAGGCTTGGACATTGTGGTGAACAATGCTGGAATTATGAATGATCGCTTATGGGAACTAGAAGTTGATGTGAATCTTGTGAGTGAATTATATAAGTTTTGCCATTGCGTAAAATTCCTTCTGCTTAAGCAATGACACTGACTACAACGCTTTAAAAATATTATTTGATTCCTTTCTTCTTTAGAACGGTATGATTCGGGGGACACTCTTGGCTCTCAGGTTCATGGGCAAAGACAGAGGAGGACGTGGTGGTGTAGTTGTCAACATGGGATCCAATGTGAGCCTGAGGCCCTATGTGAGCCTCCCAATCTACACTGCCACCAAACATGCAATCCTGGGTTTCACTCGGTCATATGGGGTAAGTATTATGATTATCAATGCTCTTTTAAACTCATTTTGTTTCAAGTATGACTTAAAATATACCTGTATGTCATTTTAAATTTTCTCTCTTTAAAGGACTTGTACCACTTGAACACAACTGGTGTGCGTATTCTAGCTCTTTGTCCCTCAGCAACTGACACCAAGCTGTTTCAGAATGTAAAAAAGCAGTTACTTTCAGCAGAATTTGAGAAAGCCTGGCAAAGGGATACTGCTAATTCATCGCCTCAGAAGTAAGTTGTTGCTTTGTGCATGCCTCACTTTGATGCTGTGTGTTCTACTTTGATATTTCTTCCAATGCTTTTTGAACCTCTTTTCTAGACCTGAATGTGTTGGTAAGGCTTTGGTCCAGATTCTTCACAAAGCTGTCAGTGGGACTGTTTGGTCAGTTGAAAATGGTCAACCTCCATACCAGGTCAACTTTTCTTAAATGAATACAAATCTCAGGAGCCCTCAATAACCATCTGCATTCCAACATTCTTTTCTTTTCTTTTTTTAAAAGTACAGTATAATTACACATTTTTTACTTGTTTTTTACTTTATATTAGTTTTACAAGTTCTTCTACGTTAGGGGAACACTATCATGAAAGAAGGTTTCTTTCATTATAGTATTTTATAGTTCAGTACTATTCTGACTTAACTTCTGTAGAAACGATATTGTATTCAAATGTTTCATTAATCTAGGATGAAAAAGAAAAGGTTTCTTTGTAGCACTTCAGCTTTGAGCTTCTTCTATGAATGAAGATTAATTTTTGCAATAGACAATGCTCTGGTGCCTTAATTGGTTTTTAAATCCTTTATATATTGTATACCTATGTAGGTTGAATAAGAAGCCTCTGCTCGACTTACAGATGTTAAATCCTGTATCATATTGAGTTTATTGTTATTGGAGCTGGCCTCATTGCTTGAAAATTATGGAACAATAAATAATCCAACACTGAAGTCTTTGTGGATAAAACTTACCTATTGTTTAGAACAACCTCTCTAGTGCGGTGACCGCTCCGGTGGCACACTTCTGTCCCATTCACTATTAGGGTTCGACGAGTTGCCACCCCTCGAGGGCAGATATCATGGTTGCTTGAAGCTCTAACACTTATTGCCTCGAAGAAGAGCGATGAGGCCTTTATGGGTCGAGCCTGTAAGGTGTGTAAAAGTAGCTCACTGGGATCTTCGATGAGCCATCTCATGGGTGGGATGACCCGGGTTCCCTTCATGGCAGACAAGCACACATTGAAAAGAAAAGAAAAACAAAACATATGTTAAACACCAAGTACCGTCCTTTATTTACAGGAGTAGAACACTTAAAGTCTATCCAAAAAATGCCTGTTAATGGTGCAAAGTTCAGACCGCTTTTACAGAGGATCTTTAAATGCAGATTAGTCCTTGACCAGACTTATACACCCATTTACTTACAATTGGAGATGGATAACGAGGAGCAGCATAGGTTTATTTAATAAAAAATGAACCCAAAAATTAGGCCAATAAGATGTTAATGAAGAAAGAAAGAAAGTACCGCAAGGTCCAGTCAATGGGACTGTCACCACATTTAAAAGAAACAAAGTCAGCGAGTATAAGGATACAAAATTAACACACCCAATGACCTATGTACTTTGAAAATTTGATTTTCGGCTTTCTTAATATGTTTTTTTAAAATTAATATTCTATGCTTGCATGATGGTAACAAAGAATCTTACAATGCGTAAATGTGACAAATGAAAGTTGAATTGATGTACATACAAATCATTGCAGTGGTATCACACTTGTATAAAAGACAGTATTCAAAGTAAAGCATCTACATATACATCTACTAAGAACATTCTCTCAGTCAAGGTCAATAACAGGAATTAGTGAAGTGTGTAAGTGTTCAACACCCATCTTATAAAACTACAGGGTTGACACCTCTGAAGAAAAAATGAAATCTAACTATCACAAGTACCTAATTTGTTCTTCAATGAAAAAAATTCAAATGCAGATTATAGATCTTGTAACAAACCAACTAATTTGTAAACTTTTAGAGGCAGGATGGCAAGATGAGGAAAATGTAAGCTTATCAAGTAACCACAGAAAAAATTCTGCACCTGTGCCATACCTTGCCCAAAAATGTAGCTCTTCAAAGGAACAGAAAAAAAGTGTAGAACAGAACACATCACAAAATGCAATAATTACAGCAGAACAAGAAATTACAAATCAAGTACACATAAGTGATCACAGTAAAGATTATATTTGTGACAACCCAAACATTGCAAAATTAATTTCCTGTTCCCAGACTAGCTAAAATCGAGCAGAACACTTTCCGCAGTTATTCAAGGAAAAGAAATGAATGGGACCAGCATTCAGCAATTTCATCTCAGACAGAGTAAATTGTAATATAACCTACAGAACAAACAGACTTACAAGGCACCAGCTATGTACCTCGCAAACTAAGAGAATACTGATGTTTGCTCGTAAAGAATCACATTCACAACATAACCCTGAGAGCTCAAAATCAAGCAAACAATACATTCATTATCGTTCATTGTAAACAAAGTTTTTACTGACAAAGAGAATTCTGTCCTAGCAAGGTAATCTCAGAACTACTTCCATGCACATAAAAATAACTTACACACTAATTGCAACAAAACAAAAAATTAAAAGTCAAAAACATATGTTCCAAAACCACAGAAGCAAAGAACAAGAAAATAAAAGAGCAAAAAGAGAGGACTCTTAAAGATTTGTGAAACTATTCACATTGTAACACTACTCAAAGAAAATGCAGTCTATCTTACTTGGTCCACTTTGCCAATGCATTCTCCTGGTTTATTGTGATTAACTGTACAACGTAAACAGAAAACATATCAGCCAATTACAGAAAACTAAAAACATTCAAAATAAAGGTCCAGCTTGTCCTCAGGCATTGACATGATATCTCACAGGGAAACTAAATTTGTAACAACATAAAAACAGTCTAATAACCACATTGAGTGGAAAAGAGTGAGCAAAACATTGATAGGATTTGGACAGTAAAAATCAACCCTTAATTAAAAATGGGAACTGATACGCGTAAAGTTTAATGAAATAGTTCCATGAAAGAAAAAGAAATGTGCTTCGATAGGGAAATGTCAACAACGGTTGGAGAAAAATCTTTTTTTTATAACTATCACAGAATATTTGAATGTGTTTTTTAACAGTTATTTAGATATTCTTAACTGCTGGTGTAATGCACAATAATAAAAATAAAACAATTTTGCTTTGGGAGATGTTCGGGAGATGGTACTGAAAAACAGAAAAAACCTGTACTTTTGAAAGGAACGGAGCATAAAGATGGTTGATCATACTGTCATGAATCTGTCTACTGAGCTGGCACCTCAGGGGCCAAGCGGCAAGTGAATGCCACAATTGTCATGATCAAATTACGAACAAACCCGGGGGCAGAGGGATGGTTAGCTAAATTTTCTAGAAGAGCCCTCAATTCCAGGAACATGTTCCTTGTGTATGGATTACGCCTGGAACGGTATCTCATGAGCAGGAACTGATAGTACATGAAAGGTGTGAGAAGTCCAGCACGGCCCCTAAAATAAAATAACATGAGAATATTAATAAAAGTAATAATAAAATAACAATATTGCTTTTAATATTTACAAAAATACTCAAACAATAAATGATGCAACAACCAAAGGCAACAACTTACATCAGAATAAGGACAACGGTGAACGGCATGAGGAAAATCTCAGAGAATGAAATCAAACGGAGAATGTTTCTTGACTGGAATTCCACCAATGAAATGGCAAGACGAGCACCCCACCAGGAATTTTGGCCAAGGGTCTAGGACAAGAGAAAAATTCAATACAAATTTTAAAAAACACATGGAGATTGGCATGCTATGATTATAGTAAAATGTATGAAGAAACTTACATCAAGAAGCTGCAGAGAGTAACTTGCTGAATGCAGAAGCGCAAATAGAGAGACAGGAAGCAGGACCACTGTCTCAGAATTAAGGATTAAACAAATGGACCATTTTTCTAAAAATGAGAATAAATAATAATACACTGTAATGAGCAGTAAAGGATACGTGTAACAGGTGGCACATAGAGGAAAATAATACAAAAGAAGAGGTAATGGCAGCTGTCTTCAGTGAGAAGTCGCATCAAAAACTCCCTAGTCAGAGAAACTGGGTGCAGTCTCTGGTGTAGACGTAGTGCACTTGTGGCAGCATTAGCCATTAATGCTTTGTAGTATGCATTGTAAGGATTCCTGTAAGAAATTCAGTACTGTAATATTCCCATTGAGAATTGATAAGAGAGGTGACTTTTGACTTTTGAGCATAACCAGAAGAAAACAAAACACACCCAAAAAAGATCAAAACCCCTGAACACTAGACTCAAGGTCAGCCAGTCTGGCATCAATAGGCATAGAGATGTCGACCCTCAAGAGGAAAATAAAAAAAAGAAACACAAAGAAATGAAAGATTCTTTTTAAGCCTTATACACTGGAGGTTGATTGGCATTAGTTTCAATTTTCAAAGTGACTCCCAATCGATCTGAACAAAATTCACACTGGACAGTACCAGCACTGTTATCAAATGCAACATAATATAATGAAACTTCTTACCAAAATAAAGGGATGAAGTAGCCTATGGTAAACACCAATGTTGCAATTCGAGTTGCCCATAAGGCAACATCAATTTTATACTGCAAAACATGCTTTCGAAGGGCGTCCCAGCCCTTTGGTTGCTGATGAACACCACCCGTAGCGAAGTCAGCCATTCTGGAAACATAGGTAAAGGACAGTCATTGAATCGTTACTCAAGCATATTACATTCTGTTAATCTAATCTTATCTTTTGAAAAGCATTGTCGCAACTGTAACAATGCTTGTGCACAATTATTGAGAAAGTGCCAGTCATTATCAGTGTAGAAATGGAAGTGCATTATATCAAACAAAAACTAGATATGAATAAAAGTAAAAAGAAGTCTTTATCACCTTAAATTTTCACCTTAAATTGCACAAATAGGACAACTGCATAACTCTTGTGACGAAAATGTACATGCGATGATATTTAAACACATGACAAGCGATCTACCTATTACTGTATGCATTGAAACAAAATCAAGGGCCAAGAGAGTACGTTAAACATAAGGAAAATTAACCCAAAAGAAAATATGTCTACATTAAAAAAAATTGATTATGAAACATTAAGCATCCCAGTTTTGAGGACGACATAAAGGCATGAACTCAAGGTAGAAACCATATTTGACAACAGGTGCGTTTTGAAGTAGAAACTAAAAAATTCCAGCAAAAATCACCAAGAATAGCCATTAAGACCACCGCAAATGGGTATAACAGAGACATGACGACAGCAATATCCTGCCGAACCCAATAAGTGAACAAGTTGCCATGACTCTTAACCAACCAACAAATCAATGAACGTTTCATGCAGTCATTAAAAGCGTAAATAAGACGGTGCGGAAAATATTCATGAATCAAACGCTTCTAACCTGGAGCTTTCTCTTCACAAAGCGGACGACACGACACGAAGCACCTACTACCAGTATGGAACTCAAACTACCTGCGACACAGGAGGAGGAGAAACTTCGCTGATTCACGTAAGAAAAAAGGAAAGCGGATATGAAGAGGCACAAACCTGCCAAAAACCCAACGGTAGGATCACCACGTGTTCAATCTAGCTTTGCTTTCAAAAAAGGGATAACCAAATTTTGAAAAACAATAATTTTGCTTTGCTTGACTACTTCTTCGTGAGTTTCTATTGATTAAGGTGAGTAAATGAAACTCAGGTTATACCAAAATTGAAGAGGTCTTTCGTTTTATCAAGTTGGCAACTTCAATACTGCGCCATCTTTGCTAGCTTGCAGCGCTTAATTTTTAAACGCTGCGCAAGCCTGATGCTTCAGTATCCGTCAACCCCTACTTGTACAACATATTGATTACTGGAGAGCATTATATGGAGAAACATCTCGATTGTTCTCAATGCATCCCATTTCCGTCTCCTCCAAGCATTGTGTAGAAATGAAGTTGCAGTCGCGAAGAGCATTACGTAACTACTCAAACGACTGAACCGAGGGTACAATTACTGAGGAGGAACCCAGTGTTTTGCAAATCCAGTTTTGATTGTGGGTGTTCTGGTCTGTTCAGATTCTCTGTTGCCCCGCCTTCAGTTGTTAGCGCAAGTCCCGTGTATTCAGCTTAACTCCTCCTCCTCCCTCTGGCTTTAGCGGGGTAAAGCCGGGGTAAAGCCAGGGTAAAACCAGGGTAAAATCCTTTTCACCTCTCTTTTACCCATCGAGAATTGGGAATTGGGCAAAAGAAAATGTCACAAAACATAAATCTGCTGATACAGGCAATGTTTAATGATAGCAACAGACTTGACAATACAAATAATTTAATACTTATCAAGGGAAACTCAAGTCAAGAGTTGATTTAAACTTCGGTAATAATACCTTAATGAATATAACAGCAAAAAAATTCTACAAAAACTTCAGTTTTTGCATAATCCTTCTTTAACAAACATTCAAAAGTTGGGAGAAAAAAATTATTCACAAAATTTGAATGTATGTTTCCCTTGATACTTTTCTTTTGTAAAAAAAGGAAATAAAAACTATGTGAGCTTACAAGCCTCCAGGGCACATCTACAATAAAACACCTTAGGACTGAGAATAAAATAAGCATTTAAAACTTACTTTAACATTTGGATTGCAAGCAAAAAACCATCCAACTGGTACCACTGGTACCACATTGAGTAAATATACATCTTCACATAGTCTATAATATCTGGAAGTAACATTGTTAGAAATCTAACATCACAAATTATAGGTATAATAATACACATAAATATTACAATTTCTGAATGGGTTGGGTTTATTATTGTATCATATACAAAGAAACAAACAGGTTTATTGCTTAAAGAAGCAAATTTAATTATGGAAAATGAACAATAAAGACATTAAAACAATAATGCTATTCATAAAGGTTAAATGAAAAAATGTTTGGAAACGTTGCCACATTAGATATAAGACAATGAAAAAAATGTGACAAGAAGAGAGGGTGCGTAGGCCCCCATGAGGACAGGCATCTCAGTCTTGATATACAATATCTGCATGGCTTTCAAACTTAGCATTACATCTGACTTAAACAGAAATAATGAAAGTTTTACAATGAAAACTTTTGCTGAGCAGTGAATATGAATGACGCATCATTACTTCTGAACACTGTAGAAACACATAGGGTCATTAAAACAAAAGAGAACACAGGAATTTTAATATTTGCATAATGCAACTAATCAAGCCCACTGAGCACTCAAATGTAAACAATTTTTACTTTCATTTTTCTTTGCAATTAGAGTTAAACTAGTGTATTTCGGTAATGTACAAGACAAAACAATTCATAAAGTTGATATTTCTAGGTTACTTGGTTGATCAACTTTAATTGGTATAGAGACATCTAGGGAACCCATCATATTGCTAGGTTCAATAATAACATCAAGAGGCTTGCCATCGACTGAAATTTCAATGCCACTTAAGTCAACTCCAGTAAAAGCAGTAGATTTACAAGGCTTAGTTAATTTACCTTCTCCACTATTTGTAGATGCTCCTGAAGATTTGGATACTCCTAAAGGCAAACTGAGACTTTGCACAGAATCAGTTTGTGGCTGAGAGTTTTCTGAATTTTTCTCACTGGCCCTGATGTTAACACTACCCACAGATACTGGGCTAGAAGAAGCTTCAATGAAACTAACATTATCATCAAACCGCACTCTATCCACAGAAACACAGTCTTCATTGCCTCCAAAACAGCTCCCAGCACTTTCCGTGTCACTTGTCTGAATGAAAACAAATCCAAACAGGAAACACAAACAATTAGAAAATACATGTAGAATTTTCATTTAACATCAAGGCAAGCATTAATACATTTTGAACAGCCTTACCTGTCTGTCTGGATTTGTTCTGCGCCTATTTGTAGAAAAATCAGCACGCTTCACAACAGGACCTGCAGCGAGTTCTTCAAAGGAATCTGATATTGTGTCTTCAACGCTTACAACTCCTGAGACTGAATCCATCTGAAAATTAAGATGATATTAAAATAGATAAAAAGATAATTTTTAAATAAAATCACAGACATGGAGAAAGACTTGACAACGACCGACCTTATAATTTGCTATGGATCCAGCGAGAGCTCTGGTAGAAGCAGCACCATCATCGTTGAGTGACGCTGACACGGACTTCTCCGACAAGCTGGTCGCTGCAGAGGCCGTCTCACTGGTCATGCTGAAGCGGTGCGTCTGCGCCACGTCCACGATCTCGAGCCTGCAGGAAGGGCCATGGGCCACGAGGGGCGAACCGTGAGTACACTGTACCGACTGTACGTGGGCAGAGGCATTCCGAGTGACGACCGCGCCTTGTACACTCTTACCTCTGTCCAGCAGACACTCCGGCGATGGAGCCCGCCAGGCTAGCCCCGGTGAGGCTGGCCCCGGCGATGGCCACGTTGCTGACGGACTGGTCCTCCCTGTCCGGCCCGAACGGGTACACGAAGGCGCCCTCCGCGTCGCCATCGCGGCCCAGCCGCTCCAGGTGGCTGCCGCTGCCCATCGAGATGGACACCTCCCCGATGGATGGGTTGACGACGACACCGCGGTGGCTCAGGCTCACGCCGTCATGCTCCTGGTCGGCGCGCTTGTCCGCCACGCCGCCGTCCAGGCCGTCCAGATCGTCCAGGCTGAGCCACTGCGCCGCGTTCAGCACGCCGCAGCCGCGCGACCGGCACATGGCCACGGGCACCACGCCGTACACGTAGCAGAGCAGCACCGGCGCGCCGATGGACACGGCCAGCGCGGCGAGGAACGGGGAGGCCACGATCTGCAAACAGACACAAGGGGGTGGGTCATGGTCATGCGGACACGCTTCGTCGAGGCAGGTGGACCGCCACACTGGCACGCACGCCGGGCTGGGCTAGGGCTAGACTGGGCGAACGTCAAGCTGTTCGGCCTGGAAATCGCGAAGGGGCAGGGACAGTAGGACAGGGGAGGCCAAGGCTCTGACTTCATTTTATCTGTCCGCCTCGCGCCTCGCCTGTGAGTGCCTGTCAGTCGGCTCGAGGGGCAAGGAAGATGGCAAGGGGCAAGGCTCTGTTCGACTCACTGGGTCAAACGCCGGCCGAGGGTACCGATGAACTCCCCCTCCGGAAAATGATGGGGGGGGGGAGGCGCGGGCGGAGACCAGGCCAGGCGGGCGTTCGCCGCGTTCCCCGCGCTCGCCGTGCGCATCCAGGGCGCGCAGCGCACACTCCCCCCTTCCCCACTGCGCAGGGCCGCGCAGGGCACGACGGGGGCATGGCAGCGCAGGCCTGCGGGCCTAGGGCAGGGCGTTGCGGCACGCCGCGGCCCGCCAGTCGAGTCTAGTCGCCCTACCGAGCTAGCCGCCTGGGCCTTGGGCTTGACGTGGGTCTGCACGGAGGCGCCGCGACGCAGCACGACGCGAGGCTCGTCGGGTCTGCACGCCCCCGCAGCCCGCGCCGACCCCGCAAACACCACAACGTCGGCCAGCCTGGCCTCGCCGCGGCCTACCATGCCGCTGTAGACAGTAACCCCCCAGCCGGCGCCCTGGAGCAACGACAGAGGAGCACCAGCCTTCCCCCCTCCCTGCAGGTAAACAAAACCACGCCTCACCGTGCCGCAGACCGCGGCGCTGCCGGGGCTCGAACCCACGCACAACACGTTGGCCACACAGCTTCCAGGGGAGCTTGGCATTGGCGGCGACGTGTTTGCGACGCTGTGTCAACCCTCAAAACCTTGGCAGCGGGGGAGCAAGGCCTCTACTTCCTGTCCGTGGCCATGTCGTCGTGGTGGTGTAGCGCCGTGTAGCGCGGTGCCCCCCGCACACGCGGCGCCGCCGCCCGTCCCGTTCCAGCGCGGTGTGGCGGCCAGGCGGCACTGCACCACACAACGACAGCGTGCTATTTCCGTCCGGCCAGTGAGACCAGCCAAGCGCACTCTTTAAAAAGATACGCACAAAGAGCCCTTTGCTCACTTTGCCAACGCTTCGCAGAAAATGACAAAGGTGTGTGTGTGGGGGGGGGGGGGGCAAGGTAGGGAGCGATGTACGCCACAAAGGCTATTGCGGGCAGCGCAACGGCTCAACGCGCCGGACGCTTATCCCCGCTCTTTTCGAATCGATGGGCTGAGTGCTGTTTGCTGGTCAGTGTACACACCCCGTGTGCACTGTCAACCTTTAAGGCGCCCCCGCCCCGCACACCGGCCCCGCCGGCTTCGCGCCCTGCCAGCGAGGCGGTGATGACGAAGGACACGCCAGACATGACAGCGCGACGAGCGCGACGAGCGCGACAAGTCCCCCTGGAGGCCCGGAGGCCTGGACACGACGCGCAGCGGGGCGCTGGCGGGGGGCTTCCGGCCGCCTGTCGACTAGGCGGCCAGGGACCCGGGCATCAATCATCGAAACTCCACTGGCCGCATTGACCGGCCGACATGGCCTGTCGATGCGGCCGCCGTGCCGCGCCGTGGCTCGCCGCTCCGTTCCGTCAGGGGCTGGCGCCGGCTGGCGGTGATTGCCGGCCGCGCCGTGACTGTGGCAACGCCATGACGTCACCGCTGCACTGCTGCACTTTGGCGCTGCACGCTGCACTTTGCGCAACCTTTAAGGATGGCCCCCGCCGCACCCCGCCACCTCGGCGTCGCCATGGCGTCGCGCGCCATCGCCTCCAGTCGGCTCCAGCCGCTCCCGCCACGTAAAACGAGGAGTAAGTGCCCCGGAGCGGCGCAGGGCAGGGCTCGCCGTCGTCGACATTCTTCCATTCTTGGCTGGAGCGGAATGGCCATGACGGCCACGGCCGGGCCGCTTTTGTTGCCGGTCGGCCAAGTTCAAATCCGGTGATACGACGCGGGGTGGGGCGGGGCGGACGGGAGGGACGGGACTCTGGCGGCATGGCGCTTCAATCTTACTCGCTTCGCTGCATGCAGCGAGGGCGCTCGGCACTCACTCCGACACGACACGACAGGGCAGCCACCACTCCACAAGATGACCACTCAGCCGCCCCGCCCCGCCCGGCCCGGCCCCGCAGGGCCCCCATGACAGGGACTCCGATACGATGCGTGTCTGTTGCACTCCCCTCAACGACGACTACATAACCGCCGATTGCACGGCGTTGCAGGACTTGGCCGACGCTCCCCGCCTGGCCATGACGGACAGCGAGGACGAAGGCTCCCTGGACGACGAGTGCCCCATCAACGAGGAGTGGCTCGAGGACGTCCTGGGGTGCTACCACCGCCAGCGCTACGCCACCGACCAGCAGCTCTGCGTCAAGGTAGGCCCTTCGAGCTTGTCATCGGGCGCCGCCATTCGAACCCACGACCTTAACTTTTGTCCTTTTTGCTCACAGGTGGGCGACTTCACGGTCAAGCCGGGGTGCGCGGCGAGCGAGAGCGTGCTGAGCGACATCGTGGCCGTGGGCGTGGACTACAAGCTGCTGCTGGCGCTCGAGCGCGGCCGCGAGGCTGAGGAGACGTCGCACTCCCTCTCGCTCGTGGTCAAGCTGCTGCCCAGCGACCCCTTCTCTCGCCTCTTCGTCACCGAGGCCCAGTTCGATCTGCGGGAGATCAGCTTCTACACCAAGGTGCGTTTGGCGCGGCAGCGCCGCCGGGCAGAGCGCCCGCCAAGTCGGGCATAGGCCACCCGGCGCGCTGCCCTGTCGCGCAGGGCTGGGCTGCCTACCCCGCGGCCCGCAGGCGCTCCGGGCCGGGCGGGCCGTGACCCTCTCTCTGCTTTGTGCTGCAGGTGGTGCCCGACCTGGAGGCGCTGGACCCCGACTCGGTGCTGCCCATCCCGCGCTGCTACTACGCACGCTACGCGCCCGCCACGGACATCGCGCCGCCAGAGAGCCTGCTGGTGCTGGACAACCTCAAGGCGCAGGGCTACAAGGGCCAGCCCTTCTCGCTTGGCCTCAACCTGCACCAGGCGCGCGCCGCGCTCACCAGCGTGGCCCGCCTGCACGCCCTCACCCTGGTGCTCAAGCTGCGCGACCCGGACTGCCGGCCGCTGTCCGAGCGCTACCCCTTCCTGTTCGCCGCCGAGCGCGCCAGCGAGTCGTACCAGGAGCTGGTGGAGCGGGGCATGCCGCTGGTGAGAACGCGCAGCCCGTCAGCCGTCAGCACCACGACCAGCGGCCGCGACTCTCACTGTCTCCCTGTCGGCAGGTGGACGACTTCCTGCGACGCCGGCCCGGCATGGAGCCCGTGGCGCGCGCCCTGGCCCGCCTGCGGCCGCTCACCAAGTCCCTGATGACGGAGCTGCTGGCGCCCGTGGGCAGCATGGCGCTCATCACGCACACCGACTTCTGGTGCAACAACTTGCTGTTCAAGGACGCGGGCGGCGACCAGGGCGAGCTCACGTGCGCCGTGCTGGACTGGCAGATGGCCACGTACTCACGGCCCACCAACGACCTGGCGCTGCTGCTGCTCAGCTCCCTGTCCACCGCGCTGCGCCGCGAGAGCGAGACGGTAAGGGCAAAACTTTCCTTTCAGCCGAGGGGGGAGAGGGGGGGGGGCGCCAACAACGGCCTTGCCATAAACACCGTGCTTGCTCCCCAGGACCTGGTGGACACGTACTGGCGCAGCTTCACGTCCACGGCGAGCCGCCTGGGCGTGGACATCGAGGCCGAGCACGGCTACGACCGCCGCCAGCTCGACGCGGACCTGCAGCGCTCCAAGCTGCTCGCCATCTTGCTGTGCATCGGCTCGGTCGAGGTGGCCATCGGGGACCCCCTGACCGAGCAGCGCCTCCTGGACGTGCTCACCGACCTGCACCAGGACGGCGCCCTCGACGTCCAGAGCGGGGACGCCGTGGAGCCCCTCAGCCCCGTGGAGCAGCCCGACGCCTGAGCGCATGAGCGAGTGTGTGTGAGAGAGACACGTTGGGAGAGACGCCCCCGCAGCCCCGCGGCGAGAGGCGAAAGGAGGCAAGCGAGGGGCAAAGGCGCGCCAGTGCTGTGTAGTGTTTCGAGTGTGGCGCACCGACGAAAGGGATGCTCTCTCTCGCCGCCGTCAAATCCATTTATCGTTCCGTTTCCTCGTACGACTCACAAGAAGTAATAATTTATGATTGTCACTGAGGTTTAACTACTCAGCAGATGTAAAGGAAACGGCGCAATGCAGGCGTCACGTTGGGCCAGATATTGTATCACGTTTTTTCTCTTTCATCGATTACTCTGACTGACGCCAATTACTTTAAATTATAAATGATATTCTTCGCCAAAGACTTTGCCGCACTGTTTAACCCGACCGAACCCTGCCGAAGTTGAAAAAAAGTAAAACGGTGAAAAAGTTGAAAAGTAAAAGAATGGCGGCGAGCGCGCTGGCAGAGGCTGGCAGATGTCGACGGACGACGGACTGGCGGCGGAAGTATCATTTCCGATTTGTGGTCAGAGCGTGGCGGTGCGGGGCGGGGCGGGGCGCGGCGCTCTTGTAGGCGCCCGGGTGTCCGGGTCCACCATAGGACTGCAGGCGTGCGTACACTGCGCACACTGCCAACAGGCCCGGCACTGCAGAATGCTGGTCACGCGGAGTGCGAAACTCGAGCAGCACGCCGGCGCGCGCCGCGTCCCGGAACGCTCTCGGAAAGTAGGCCGCACCGCAACGCACCGCAACGCACCGCTCCGACTGCTCTCGCGCCTCGGACCGGGCGGGGCCGGGCGGGGCCACCGGCCGCCCCGCTCGCGCAAGGGAACAACAGCCACCGCGACTCGTCAACAAGCCAGTGCCATTTGTATCCCTCTAAAAATAGGAATCTCTTTGCGGAGACTCCGCGGGAGCACGCCGCAGTGCCGCACCAGTTTCTTTTTCGGCACCCTGCGCCGCGCCACGCGCACGCCTTGTGATACGCCCGTCCCGCCGTCCGCGGGGCAAGCCGAGCCGCCGAGGGGCTAGCCAGGCAACGAGCCCCGAGGCTGCGACCGGCACAGCGACTGCACAAAGACTGCTCGCGGACCTCCGCGGTCCGCTTGGGAGGGAAACGCCAGGAGCGATATTTTATCTTGTAAAAGTTAACTAAAGCTTTATTTATTTTAAATGGCCGCGTAAGCACTGTTTTCTTTTTCATTTTACAAAGTCTTTAAAATGATAAAGACGTCCGCACTGTTGTGTTCGGCATCATGGCAACATGCTGGCCTTCCTGTTTTCGGGCCAAACCCACGGACTAACACTGTGTAAAGCGAAACCCCTGTGGAATTTCGGAATAAACAGAAATGTTGCCGATTGAATTGTGATCTGTCAACCCAAACACCGCCACCCCTCCCCACCCCTCCAGGGCGCGCACGAGCGCGAACACGTGCCCACACTGCTCGCTGCCGCCGTGGCGTCACAACGCGGCGAAAGCCAAGCAGACCCAGCCGGCCACGTGACCCTTTACTCGGAAGTCCTCGCGGCGCGCGGCACGCGGCGCGGTGTGGAACGGCGTCGCCGCGCTCCGCTGGGATGCGAGCGGGCCGCCCGGGATGCCGCTGCACCTGCACGGCTGAGACGAGCCGACCTCGTCCCAGCGCTCGGCGAGATCGCCCAGATCGTGAGGCAGGCGGCCTGGCGCGAGGGGCGCGACGACCTTTCAGTCCAGCGACAAAGTGTTGCTCGCTTTTGGTTATTTTTTAGGGGAGGGGGCCGCTGATGATTCTTTTCTTTTTTGAATCCAAGACCCCTTTTTTTTCTCGGCCATCCTTTATCTGGAAAATTGACTTCCGCCGCCGCCACGGCACTCGGGCCCTTCTTCCTCTTCTTCTTCTCTCTCTCTCACGCAGCGCCGCCAAGCGCCGCCCGCCGGCGGCAAAGCCGATAGCCCCGCTAAACGCAGCGAATAGCCCTGGCATCCCATTCGGGGCGGGGCGAGGAGGGGGCACTGCAGGGCGCAGGGCCGCGCGGGGCCTTGCTTGCTGGGGGCGCAGGGAGCAGGGCGCAGGGCGCAGGGCGCAGGGAGCAGCCGAGGCGAAGCGGGGAGAACTCCGGGAAGGTATTCAGCCTCTGTCCCTCAGTCCCTCCGCCCCGACCGCATTGCACGGTAGGAACACAGCGCGGCGAGCGGCGGCGAGCCAGCATATTGAAAAGTTTAAACAGCGTTTCGCTCTTTTTTTACCTTTTCTCTCCTCTCTCCAGCGCTGCCAAGGAGCGCGCATACCACGGACCCAGGGAAAAAGGGGGGGCAGGGGGGAGCCTCAGGCACCGCCGCACCACACTCCTGTCAGGTGCCAGCGAAATGGATCTCTTTGTTGATGTCGGGGCGGCAGCCCTTTCCAGGTCCCTGTCCCATCCCAGCCCGGCAGCGGGATGGCGACTGAGTTACAGCAATCACAGCGACACGCACAGACCACACCGATGCGCTGCAGTTGCTCCTCTATAATGATTGCCGCCGCTCCGTCTCTCTGTCACTCACAGAAGGGGTGCGAGAGAGACGGTCCGAATCAGCCGGGGAGGGGCGGGGAGCGGACGGTGGCCCCAATGAGGCTCCTTGTCTGGAAGCCCCGGTCAGCCAGCACCGAGGTGGAGAGGGGCGGCGCGGGGGCCGCGTTGCAGCGACACCTCCAGGCCACGTTTCCCCGCCAGCCAGCCGGCACAACTTTGGACAACTTTCAGGGAAGTCTGCCCCGCCCCGCTGCGCCCCGCCCAGACACCCGTCTGAGCCGAGCCGAGCAGAAAGCCTTCAAGTTGTTGCGAGACGGCGCGACGGCGCGACGGCGGGCCAACCCGAGCGAGGAAGATGCAGGCGCAGCGGCAAGTCGTACATCCTCATCATCATCGGGATGGGCCACGTGACGTCATTAACAAGCGACTTGGCGAGGCGGGGCCGCCACACGCCGCCACGCGCCGCCCCGCACCGCCCCGCCCGCCGCCGCCCCGAGGGGGCGTCGGGCCGGCCCTTCCAACAGGCTCAGCTGGTGGAGTGGAGGTACCAAGCGTGTGCCCACCAAGGCCCCGCCCGGCCCCGCCCGGCCCCGCCCCACACCACGGCCTCGCGCAGTTCCGCGCCGGCACGCAGCCCTCCCCAGCATCTCGATCAATACGGCCTGCCTGGCTGCCTGGCCGCCTGGCCTCAGAGCTTGCTTCGGAGCCGGTGCACGACGGGGGCGGCTGGCGGGGGCGGCTGGCGGGGGCGGCGCCACTCTGTCGCGGCAATTCCCTCGTCCAGCACGCCGCACCGCTCCGGCCCGAACGCACCTGATTAACGCCCGCCCCAACTCCGCCGCAGACTGGACTCTGGACTAGGGTTCGGACTGCGGCGGAGCGTGCAGCCAGACAAGCGGCGCGGCGGCCGGCCGACCGTTGTTGTCACGAGGACACGCGGACCACGGCGTCCACCCACCCATCAAAACGTTGCCCCTCCCCTTCCGCAGCCAGTGGTCACGCGGCATCCGTGCACGCCACCGACTACGCGTCGCACCGCGAACCCAAACCGTGCGCGGCCGAGAGTGCAGCGGGGCGGGGGGTGGGGGCGCGGGCGGGTACCCGCAGCAATAACTTGGACGGAAGCGCCCGCCTCCTACCCCACCTGCAGCCCCTACCCGCCACTGCCCATCCCGACCCAATTCGCTCGCCACCCCTGGAAGGTGAGACGCAGGTCGCGCTGGGTCGCGCTGGGTCGCGGTGGGTCGCGGTGGGTCGCGGTGGGTCGCGGCGGGTCGCGGCGGGTCGCGGCGGGTCGCGGCGGGTCGGCACGGCCATTACCCCTGCCGATCACGCCCCACCGATCGCGCCTCGGATGAAAATCATACCGGGCGCTCCGGCCCGCTCCAGACAGGCGGACGGGACGGCGCCGGGGGACTCAAGAATCGAGAATCGGGGGGAAAGAAGGGACGTCGCGGTCGCTCGGCTGGTCGCTCTGCTGGCCCCGCTGGCTCCACTTCAAGCGACCGCGACGCCCTGAGCCCCAGGGCCTCGGGGAGCTCCTCCAAGCCCTGCCCCTCGTCCAGGGCCCAGCCCGCCGCACGCGAGCACGCGAACCCATCGCGGGCAGAGGCGCAGCGCCCCCTTTTCCCCTCCACTCTTTTTCAAGAGTCGGTAGGTGGGCACAAGCCTCGGCAGAACCGCCAAATCCAGCCGTGTCCACACGTAGAGAACACTGCGGTCGCAGAGCGGGTGCCTCTGGCAAGAGGGATCAAAGGAAGAAAGACTGGCGCTCAGCGCGCAGTCCGGCCGGGAGCGGGAAGGGGGCGAGGGGTGGGGGCGGAGCGCCGTTGGGGATGGAGCAGCCAGCGCATCGAGTCACCGATCATCGGAGTGGTAAGCCGTGTTCCCTATCGGGGAGCCCCAGCAGTGGCCCGGCAGTGCCCCAGCCCAGCCCAGAGCCGGAGCCGCTTTGTGTCTGATGGTGGCCTCCCGACCCGACCCGAACCGTGCCCTGCCCCACCCGCCCTCCGCTCCGACCCACCGACCGCGCAAAGCCGACTACGCTGCCCTGGCTGCATTGTTGGCGGTAAGCCCGCCAGCAACGGACGCCGACGGAGACGACTCCCGTGCAGACAGACGGTAAACGCACAGAGAACTAATTGTCTCCTCCACGTCAGGCAGCGGACTGGCACTCTGGAAGCGGCCGTAGGGCTGAGGTCACGGGGCGGGGCGGGGCGGGGCGGGGCGGGGGGAGACAAGCCAGCCGCAGCGCTGCCTGGAATATCACCTTGCCTCCCGGAATATCTCATTGCTGCGCTGCCGCGCTGCCGCGTCAAGCGAGGCACGAGAGGGGAAGGGGAAGAGGGGTGGATCGGCGCTGCAGAAAACGAACAAGAGCGGCACACAGCCGTGATAATACAAAAAGTGAGCGAGGACGAGAGGGGATGGAAACGAGGGGGGGTTGCGAGCGACAAATAGGATGGGACAGAGATAGGGGGTAGATAAAGATGAGCCGAAACAGCAAGTTGGCTGGCCGCTGCCCGCCGCCACCCTGCCCCAACCCTTCCCTTCCCTTCGCCTGCGGCAGGGCCGGCAGGGCGAGGGCAAGCGGCAAACTCCTCATCCGACCGGGGGAAAGGGGGGGGGGGTGTACTTTAATTCCAGCCCCGATGGGGAGGGAAGCCAGCGCCATCAGAGCCAAGTCAGCGAGACGTCAACTTGATTCAACTACCGGCAAAATGATAATCACCTCCACCTCCAGCCCGCCGCCTGCCGCCAGCCCCGAGCCACTCGAGGCAAGGCGTGTGCGTGCGCTCGACGCTCTCCGCCAAGTCTTCAGCGAACCCCGAGGGAGGCGAAATATAATGGCAAAACTCCGTCTGCGCGCCAGCCCCCTTGTGCGGTGCGTACACATTCCACAGCCCGCCGCCCCAGCCCCAGCCCCAGCCCCTGCCCCGTCTCGCGGCGCGCGGTGGCAGACGGCATGGGGGGCTGGCGCGAACGGACCTCCACCCCTCCGTCTCGGCCACCACCGCCCGGCACCGCCGCCGCTTCGTAACCGACTGATAAGTGATGGAATCAGCCCCGTCATCAAGTGAGTCCGACCGGAACAGTTTTCCATTTCCAGTCCTATTTCCGGTTCACTTCGTCGCGATGGCAAACGACTCGATCGCGACGGAGTCCCCGCGTGGCGGAGCCTCGCTGCGACGGGCCGGGGCGGGCCGGGGCGGGCCGGGCAGGTCGGGCCAGCGCGGCGTCTCGCGGAGTCTGGCGCCGAGGCGAGGCGATACTCCCACTCCAGGGCGCAGCGCTGCGCGTGGCGTGTGGCTGGGCGCGGGGTAGGTCCAGCGAGCGCCTGGAGTGTGGGCAGCGCGGCGGCACTGCGGCGCGGCGTATTGCCTACGCTGCGGGCTGTTTGGCCCGTCGAACAGGGAACCTATACTTACAGTGGCGGTGACGCCGCCGAAGATGGCGAGGTTCCTCTTGTGCTTGTTGGCGAACTCGTAGCGGGTGTAGATCTTCTTGCCCACCCAGACGGGCAGGCCGATGATCATGGCGGGCACGGCGATGCCCGCGATGAGGCCGATGCCCACGGGCGCCCCGACGAGCGTCCCCAGCTGCCAGAGGATCTTCTTCTTCCGCGACCAGGGCTTCTTGCCCCAGAAGGTGCACCCCGACGGACTGCGGCGGGAAACAGTCGCGGTTAGAACTGGCCGAACCACTCACGGCACCGACGTGCACAGCCAACGCAGAGCCAACGCACCTCAAGAAGTGCAGGTCCGTGACCTCCTTCATGCACAGCCAGCAGAACTCGGCGCCGCACACCGCGCACTGCATGTGGTTGCACGAGCCGTCGTCCATCTTGCCGATCAGCACCTGGCAGCGCGGGCACGGCTTCACGTCGTCCCCTGCAACGGAAAGCAAAGCCAGCGTCACCGGGACTGGCGGGCCTAGGACCGAGCCGAGGACTCGCCGGGCAGCCCGGGCCACTCACGGAGGCGGGCGTGGTGGTTGAACGTCGACGAGGTGGACTTGGAGTCGGGGGAGCGCAGGGCGCGCGCGGAGTCGCACGTCTGGTTGGGGTGCCACTCCGCCTTGCAGTGGTAACAGAAGTGGGAGTCGCAGCCATCGCGTCCGCACTTAATCTTTGGGCAGCTAGCACAGCCGGCGGCTATCACGGCGAAACTGCGGGCAGGGACCAGGGGGCAGTTAGACAAGGACTCCGGCGGAGACCACAGACCGGTCGAACCGTGGTCGAAGCCAGGGTCGGCGTCACGCCAACGCCACGCCATCGGCCCGACTCACCTACAGTCGGGCGCGGGACACCACCTGGTGTCCGGATCGCAGGCCAAGACCCGCCGCACCATAAAGTCTTCATACTTTTCAAATATAACATTATCATTTAGGATCATCCGAATATCTGCAACAACAATTTTTTTCAAATTGACACAGTGCACGGTGTAGCACTAGTAAATACCGCGCAAACTCGCAAAAGCGGACGCTAGGAGTGAACTCTCTACGCTAGATATAAAAAAAGAGAGATCTATTGGCAAAGTAACTGCATATGGATGAAGCGGAACATACCACTCGGATGCATGGGAGCCGTACACTCGGGACATGCGATATTCACACGGGACTCGGAGATCTCTACTCGGAGGTACTTTTGGAAACAGTCATAACACGATCGGTGCGCACAGGTGAGAAGTTCTGGGTAGTTTTGGCTGGGTTGGTCATTTAAGCACAAAGGACATACAATGCCAAGGGACCACTGCTGCAACATAATAGGACAAAGACAAAATTAAAATCCTGAGGAGTGTGTGAGGAATTGGCGGCCCGCCAAAAGACAAGAGAGATAAAGAGAAGAAGACTGTCAATCGATACGGTGGTCCACACAGTCGGCCTTGGCGGCCTTGCCGCGCACGTACCTTGCCGGACTCGGCGCCCGACGCGGAGGCCTGGCCGTGCAGGCGTTGCAGCCTGTCCGCCCGGTCCGCCCTGTCGCCGCGCTCCACGTCCTGGGAGGACGGCCCGTCCGCCGAGGCCGCCGACGCACCCCGCTCGTCTGCAACGCAACAGGCTGTCAAAACACTGCACCGCACTGCACCCACTGCACTCGCGGTAGAGTGGCAAGAGGACAAAACTTCCAATTGTGTGGCAGAGCCCTGTTACAAATATGTACGTCATTCCGCAAACAAGTCAGTACGTACTTACGAAAATTTTCGTATGCTCGAAATTGTGTGCGGCCACGTACAAAATCGTTATTGCAAATACATTTACTGTGCAGCGTCGTGACACGGCATACTCACCGCTGGACTTGGCGGAGCGCTGCTGCGAGTTGTTGCGGTTGACCCTGCGCGGCATCAGGGGGCTGGCGTACAGCAGCCTGGTCAGCGAGAAGTGCGTGAAGCCGCGCTTGCGCTGCGACGCGGCCAGACCGCCGCAGCCCGCCGCGCCCGCCTCCGCGCGCACCGCGTCGCCGCGGGGCTGCTCCTTGCGGGACCCGCGCATCCTGCCGACAGAGAAGGACAGCTTATCACTGGCGTCCTCGCGGCCGGGCCGTCGCCTTGGCCGTCGCCTTGGCCGTCGCCTCGCTGACTGGAGAGAAGGAAGGAAGGAAGCGTGCCTGCGGAGGACGCCGGCGAGCATCGCGTCGGCAGCCTTCTGGCCGCGCTGCCGTCCACCCGGCGGTTATAGGGCGGCGGGCGTGGGCCTTATCGCCCGCACGACCGGTGACTCACGAGGACGGCGACGACGCGCGCGGCACGCCGAACGTCGCCACATCGACCGAGCGCTGCCCGCATTCGTCGGCGCCCATGACGGCGAGGGTAGCCGAGGATCGAGCTGAGGGCTTATAATTCCCCTCCGGCCAGACTTGGACAACTATCCCTCGGCAGGCAACTCGGCCAAACTCACCTCTCAGCGCCCTACAGTGGCGTGGCGCGGGGCGAGGGGCGGGGCGAGGGGCGGGGCGAGGGGCGGGGCGAGGGGCGGGGCGAGGGGCGGGGCCGCAGCGGCCTGCCGTCCGGACCGCTCCCAACGCGGTGGCGCCCCAACGTGCCTCGTGGCGCCCGCGTACCCGCGCAGCCCGCGCAGCCCTGCAAAACGCAAAACACCAACGAGCATTAGCGACGGGATATTGCCAATATCCCGCTTTCGTTCGCTCCGCGCCACCCGCCAGTCACATTTGGCAGTCCGCGTCCGCGGTAATCGGCAGCAAGGGCGGGGCGGGGCGTCACGACCAAGGCGCGTCACCACGCCCGTACTGCGCAAACTGACGCCAAAGGCAGCCAAAGGCAGCCAAAGGCAGCGACGACGCAGCGCGCAGGCACGCCCGGCCCACTATGATCTAGAATCCCGAAAACGCGGAAAAAATTCGGAATAACAAAAGTGCTCTGATTTGGCTTCCGTGTGGCTTAAACTATCCTCGAATGTCCATCTGACAAGAATCAAGTCAAGAAACACCTTGGTCGGTCGCCTCCGACTAATGGAAGGCTCCCAAAGTTGACAAATTTGTCAAACTTGACTAGACGTTTGATGACGTTCTTCGTTGAGGTTCAGTCCGTCCTCGATTTCTCTGAGAAGGCGAGTTTGAACCCTCAAACACTATATACCATTTTAAAGGTCTTTTTTCAGGCTTTCTTTTGCACTATAGGATGTTGTTTATGTGTCATTCTCGGATTAATGGCAAAGCCGGAAAACATCTCTACACAATTTGGCAAAATTAGTGAAATTCAAATTTTTTGCGAGAGCCGGGATGAAAATGGCGGGGTTTTGGCGGGTTCAGGTGGTCTTTTTTCAGTAGTCCGGTCCCCATAGTTTGATAATCCATCGGCAAATGCTGCGACCACCTGCGACCCCGGGATTTTATAGCCTTCAAATATGGGTCTTTTTAAGCTTTTTTAAGACAAAATGCCATCCGTGCCTGCCTTTCCTCACACATGGACACATACATACATGAAACGAACGGGCTTCAAAAGTGCTATCAAGGACAAATATGTATTTACTCTTGGTTATTACCGGAAGTGAACTCAAAATCACCGGAAGTGAACTCAAAATCACAAAAAATAGGCAGAAAACTTCCGAGATTGAGAAACGTGATACAGAAAATGAACTCAAGGACATCAGAATTGAGTCTTCAGGGTGCAAATTGACATTTTGGACGGATATTTTGTACATTTTTTTTCGTTTTATACATTGAATGAAATTCAACTGGTTGTTGTTAACCGTGTAAAATTCAATTATTTTATTTAAAAAATTGAATGGCAGAGTAAAGCCGCTTCACCGTTGTGTTCCTTCTTTCACACCCCTTCTTTTTACAGAGTAAAGGTCCCAGACCTCGAAACTAGTGCCAGCAGCTCTTAACCCGACTTCAATTATCTTATACAGCAATGTTTTAGCAATTTTTAGTCTTTTTAAGGTTTTTATGCAGTTTCTTTTAAAAGCACGTATGCATAGCTCAAAACTAATGTCGGATTCGGATTCCTCGACCCAAAATACTCACTAGAGGATGATTTCAAGGCCGTAGGAATTTTTTCCGCGTTTTCGGGATTCTAGATCATAGTGCGGCCTCGACTCGACCCGACCCGGAGCACCAACAAGCTGGCACGCCGGCAGGGACCGGGCGTCGCGACTACTTCCAGGCACCTCCAGAGGACAGCGGACAGGCGCTCCGGATCAATTTTGCAGGGATGGAACGTAATTCCGTTAGCAGCGAACAGGCGACGTCCGACGCATGCATTCGGCCGAGCGAGGAGCAAACAGCAGGTGCACTGTCCCACGAGGCAAGTGACATGCAGTCGACACGACACATTCTGCATCAAGAAGTCAAGAAGTCCTCACGCTTGCAGGTGACATCGGTGTGACAGACAGCGTGGACCCAAATGTCTACCACCTGCAAGCGTGAGACGCGGCTGGGATTCACAATCTGAATGATTCAGCGACAAAGTCTTATGTTTCCACCAACAGTCCGAAGGCTGAGAGTGCAGTCCTGCGTGGGCGGCGGGCGAGGCGACGCGCCGTGCCGCCGTGTCGGGGAGTCGTAACCTCTGCCTCGAGAAGAGCGGCGACTCAATCCGCACCGCGCTCCGTCTCGCTCACCGCGCGGGTGCGAGAGAGACAGCCCTGTTCGGAAGCAGCGTACTGGGGCGCCGCGCCGCCGCCTTGAGGTTAATAGCGGTGTGACCTTGCCACGCGCGGAGAGACGGCCCTCCAGCTCCAGGCCCATGCTCCAGGCTCCAGCGCGGCCAGCCTAGGGCCCTCGGGCCTCGCCAGCCGGGCCGCGGCCCTGCAGCCTCGGACTTGACTTGCTCGGACACTAACCTGGGCCAACGCGGCGCGACAGGCCGTCCCGATCCGTCCCGGCCGAGCCCCACTACGCCGCCTTGCTGCGCCTTGCCGCGCCTTGCCGCGCCTAGTATCGCCCCGGCCGACCTTGGCAAGCTGGCGGTGCTGGCGGTGCTGGCGGTGCTGCAGGCTTTGTTGGCGACACGACGCGCCAAGCAGGAAGCACTGCGCTCGCTTTCGCGCTCCGGCGGCAGGCTGGGCTGGGCTGGGCTGGGCTGGGCTGGGCGACAGGGCGCTGAGGGGACTGCGGGACTGCGGAGCGCCGCCTGCCGCCGCCGTCGCTCTCCAGACAAGTCGGGCCGAGTTACCTCCCGCGTTAAGTCACACGACCCGAAGGGCTGAAGGGCGCAGTCTGCCCAGCCAGGCCCAGCCAGGCGCCCTTGCCATGCTGATGCGGCGTAGGCTAGGGCCCCGTCCACTTGTTGGGCGCATGGCGGAGCGCGGCGCAGCGCCCTGCCTGAGTCGCTAGCGCCGCCCGCCTCGCCCGCCCAGCGCGCGGACCCTCAATGAATAATGCAAAGGGCTGCCTGCTACCAGCCAGACAGGCAGCCAGCACGGTCCAATCTGAGGCGCCTGGCGAAGCAGTCCGTCGGTACCGACATCCCTGCCGGGATGGACCGCTCCAACGCTCGGCCAGACAGCACACACCTCAAACAAAAGCACTCGACCCGCCTCGGCCCCGGCCCGCCTCCACGCGATCCAGACGAAAAGTTGCGAACGGGAGCAGCGCGGCGGAGAGCACTCGGTGGCTTATTGCGTTCCCGCCGCCAGTTTGAATCAAAAGCCAATAACACCACGCGGAGTGGCCAGGAGTGCCGGGTACAACAACAAAGCCTTCGGCACGGCCCCGCCATGCCGCGCCAGCAGCTCGCATTATTAGCATCAAAATAGAGCCGCCGAAGAGCAGCTAGCAGAAGCGGATCAGGGGGAAGCCCGCCCACCGCCCACGCTCCCCTCCCGGAGCTTCAGTCGCTCCGTCTCTCTCGCACGCATGCGATGTGCCGTAAGAGTGCGAGAGAGAGAGAGAGGAATCGGGTGTCCGCTTGGCGTAGGTAGCGAGGCTCCGCGAGGCTACAGCACGCTCCGTCCCCAATCACTCAGCGTCACCACCTTCCTCTGGCACTCGATGGAGGCGGCGGAGGCGCTGGAGAGGCGTCTTGCGAGACTCCAGGCGGCGTCGCGAGCCCCTACACTGCCACTCCAGCACTCCAGGGCGCCGCGCGCCGCATTCCACGCCGGGTCGCCCTTGTCGTCCGGCGGAGACCGGACCCCCGGGCCCCGCGCCCCGACTGCGTATCAGTCTAGCGTTTCGCTCCTCCGCCCGCCCCCGGGGCTCCAGCCGGCTCCAGCCTCCGCCTCCGGGTCATGGAATGCCCGAGGCAGCGACGCAATCCCGCCACTGGTTATTGGCATCCCAAGCGCGCTCGGCTAGCTTGTTGACCGGGAGATCCTCGCCTTCCCCTCCAGGCTCTCCAGGCCCTCCAGGCCCTCCAGGCCCTCCGGCCTCGGCAGCGGCTTACCGAGTCCAACCTCACCACTGCGACGGCCTAGACAGCCGCGGCCACGGCAGGCACGCCGTGCGCGCGGCCACTGCAGCAGCAGGTCTTTGCCTGGTCTACCACCACCCGGCACCGCCGCCCCCACACCCTGGAGCCAGCGCGACCAAGAAAACGAGAAAGACAAGTCCCATTGGAGGCGGAGGCCTGCCCGGTGCAAAAAACAACGCGACGCGCAACAAGCGTCTAAACAGGTGCAAGGCGGCGGCCGCAAAATGCAGTCCAGACAGAACGCGCGCAAATTGAAAAACACAAACTTTATGTAACTCTCGAGATAGCGCCCCGTCTGTACTTTCTGCACACGGCTAAAAGTGACCACATGTTTCTGCGAGTGCCGAGTTTCACAGCTACAGAGGCGTCGCGGCAGTTGAATTGGTGTGGCGCTAAATGGGCCGAACAAGAAAATATGCATAATTCTGAAATTCGAATACAGTGGCAGCGCGCATCCGTGACTCATAAAACGACACAGGTGATAAACAGCGTCTGTCTCGGCTCGGCGCACGGCGGCCACGACGCACGGTCGACGGCGGGTGTGCTTGAGGCTTGAGGGGAGCGAGCGCCTTGCGAGCAGCAATAGGCCAGCCCGCAACCCACGCCTGCGCGGCGGGCT